CTCTCTCTCTCTGACCCTCCCCTGCTCATGCTGTCTCTCTCTCTCTCTCTCTCTCCTAGAAATAAAAAAAAAATAAAAAATTTAAAAAAAAAAAAAAAAAAAGAACCGTGAGATCATGACCGGAGCCAAAGTCAAACGCTTAACCGACTGAGCCACCCAGGCATCCCACTAATTAACTTATTTGATATTCCAAAGCTGTGAAAATCAGAAAAAGGTCTCAAACAGTACTAATAGAAACATAGTAGCCACATGTATAATTTTAAATTGTATGGTAGTCATATTAAAAAAGGTAAAAAAAAGAAGTGGAATTAATTTTAACAATGAATTTTATTTAACCTAATATATTCAACATATTATCATTCCAGGGGCACCTGGGTGACTCAGTGGATTAAGTGTCTGACTTCGGCTCAGGTCATGATCTCACAGTTCGTGGGTTCGAGCCCCGTGTCGGGCTCGGTGCTGACAGCTAGCTCAGAGCCTGGAGCCTGCTTCGGATTCTGTGTCTCCCTTTCTCTGCCCCTTGTCTGCTCACACTCTCTCTCTCAAAAGTAAATTTTTAAAAATATTATCATTTCAATGTGTAATCAACATCAAAATTATTAATAAAATATTTCACATACTGAACTTTCAAAACACGGTGTAGTTTTTATACTGCATCACATCTCCATTCAGCCTAGCCCCATTTCAACTGCTCAACAGCCGAATGTGTCTAGTGGCTTATGTACTGAATAGCACAGATTTAGAGCAGTGTTTCACAATCTCAGCACTACTGACATTTTGAGCCGGATAATGCTTTGCTGTGGGGGGCGGCCCAGTATACCTAAGATGATGAGCTGCACCTCTGACCTCCACCCACTAGATGTCAGTAGCACCCCTCCCTCAGTTGTGGCAACTAAAAATGTCTCGGAACTTGGGTAAGTGTCCCTGAGTGGGGGTGAAGGTAGGGCAAAATTGTCCCCAGCTGAGAATCAAAGGGCTAGAAAACCTGGAGAAAAAACACACGCTTGGAACTCACCTTAGGATCACCTGAGAGAAAATTTTCTTTTTAGAAGCTATTTTTACCATAGTCACCGAACCATGACAGTAGTGCTTACAACAATTAAAAGTTTATCCAATTTCCACATTCTAAATTCACAGAAAGGAGGAAGAGGAGGAAAAGAAAGGTGAGACGTGGGAAAAGCAGAAAGGGGGCGTGGACAAGAAGAAAAGGGAGGGGGAGGAGAAGGCTGTTTTTCCTATTATAGACGCCATGCTTACTTTGGGCCCAGACTCACAGAAATAATATTGACCCGGCACTGAGCCTGTCTTGGTGACTGGCATTAACATGTAATTATTTCAAACAACCCTGAGGCTCTTGACTTTGAAAAGAAGCTGATGGGTGCTTGGGCTGCAACATGCATCAAACAGTGCCTGCGGGCTCAGGCATTGGGGGAGCATGGAGTTGCTCCGTTCTAGAACTGTGTACTTCAACGAACAGCCTTTAATATCAGAAGTGATGAGCAGTAGGCCCCAACTTCTGGGTGAGCTACTCTCTTCCAACATTTCTCTTACCAACCAGGACCTCAGTAACTGGAAGTCTCTGTTACCTGTCATGTTTTGAATGCTGTTTAGCATAAATATATATATGTATATACATATGCATGTACGTATATATAAATGGCAAAGAAATCAAATTACAGCAGAAGTTTATTCAGGAAAGCAAAGAAAGAAAGGGCAAAGGAGGGAGGAACTAAATCAGGAACACACCATGAAAGCATGAAATACACTCATCATAATCTTACCCAGATTTACACGTGTCTGTAAGATACGCAGAATATTGACCCTTAGATAATTAAAGACCATGAATCTTCAAACACAGATTACTTTCACTCCACTGCAGAGATTTTTAAAGTTCTTTAACAACAAAAGCTAAAAACAAAAAGGCTTCTGGTTGCCCCGTGGTTAATGAGAGCATGAAGCAGGAGTTTCCACTCCTCCAGTGTTCTAGTTCATCAAGGATCAACGCTAACTGACTTTGCTCATTTCAAGGTACTCAGAATCTAGCCATTTGGTGTCTACACTAGGTACCCTGGGCACAGCAGGCCACTGCCTGCTTATGCCTCAGTATCTTCCCACAGGACTACCGGTAGAGCAGGAATCTTTCCAGCAGCTCTGGCAGATGGAGTTCATGGATGGTTTGATGACATGCTCGACCCAAGCACTTCCGGACACACAGGCGGCAGAGCTGGGAAAGAGCGGGCGGCCCTGGGGAAGAAATTACAATGTGTGAAGTTCATGACGGCGGGGGGGGGGGGGGGGGGGGGGGGGGGGGGGGGGGGGGGGGGGGGGGGGGGTGTCAGGTCAGGGAGAAGGGGAGACCAGAGGACCAGAAGGGGTTGAAATGTTCTACAAGCTGGATCTGTGCATGGATTATAGAGTGATGTGGCAGACACTAAATATACACAGGGACCCCAGTGTGCCACTCTGGGCGGGGACATGTTTAGTAGCCCTCTAAAGGTCACTGTAACCAGAGATAAGTCAGGAAAGAAACGTGAGGTCTAAAGGGAATGCACTTCATTCAGGTATTCCACATGCCAATGAACGGGATAACACCGGCCCAGGAGACCCAAGCAAGGGTGCTGGCTGGGTCCCAAGTCATACTTGGAAGGGCCCTCCATTCACACAAGGCTCCCAGCTCCATGGAGGATCTAGAGAAAGGACCCAAGTCACTGAACCCCCATTATATCCCAAACCTCAATCTCAAAGAGGCTCATGGAGTCATCACGCCCATGGCTTTGAGTGGCTGAAGGAAACCAGTGAGAGCCCCAATGGGATGAATGGGATGAATGAGGTTTGGGCTGGAACACCAGTTACACAGAGAGGCATCTGTAATGCCCCATTATTCCCTAACCTGACTGTATCAGTAAAGATCTCTTCAAGTAGACGTATGTGATTAGTAGACTACATAAAGCTGTGCGTCTCACGAAAATCCTACTGTAACAGGATCTTGCGACCCATGAGAAACGGTGCACTATATATACAAATAGCTGGAGAACACCTAAATGATGTTTCCAAGGAGCATCCATGTGATAGAGCAACTAACTGCCCTTAGTTAACATCCTGGGAAGCACGAATGGAGAGCATCTCCACCTGTCACCCAGCTAAAGCTCCTCTGGAAAACGGTAACACAGACAAATTGTCCAGTGTGCCTAGAGAAGTTCAGACACCAGGGCCAACTGTGACGTAGCTGGTGGTCATCCTTCCAGACCAAGCAGACCTTGCTTAGAACAAATCTAAATCCTGGACCCGGAAACATCTTTGATGGAAGAAAAGAGGAAGTGTGCCGATTGCTATAAACCATATACTCAGCCAACAGTTGGAAAGCACCTGGTATTTCCAAACCGGGAGCTGGTAAGGAAGATCATAATTCTTCAAGTGGAGAGTCGAATAAAAGAGCAATCATTAATGACATAGACTCTTGGAAATATTCTAGACCAGTAGTACTCAAACTGTGGCCTCAGATCAGCAACACTACCTGGGAACCGAGTGGGTGTACAGAGTCTAGGCCATATCCCAGACCTCCTGAATCTGAATCCGCATTCTAATTAGATCGCCAGGTGATTCATACTTGGGGTAGAACTTAAGAAGCACTGACCAAGGGCAGCCTGGATGGCTCAGTCAGTTAAGCATCCAACTTTAGCTCCGGTCATGAGCTCGTAATCCATGAGTTTGAGCCCCACATCCGGCTCTGTGCTGACAGCTCAGAGCCTAGAGCCTGCTTCGGATTCTGTGTCTCCCTCTCTCTCTGCTCCTCACCTGCCTGCTCTCTCTCTCTCTCTCTCTCTCTCAAAAATAAACATTTTTAAAATGAGAGAGAGAGAGAGAGAGGGAGGGAGAGAGAGAGGGAGGGAGGGATGGAGAGAGAGAGAATGAGCAGGGGAGGAGCAGAGAGAGAGGGAAAGAGAGAATCCCAAGCAGGTTATGTGCTGTCAGCATAGAACCTGACGCGGGGCTTGATCTCACAAACCATGAGATCATGACCTGAGCCAAAACCAATAGTCAGATGTTTAATCAACTGAGCCACCCACGTGCCCCATATTATTATTATCTTTAATAGTCTCCCAAGCATACAAATGATCAGTATAGGCTTGGATAATGTTCTCTTTCTGTATAGACTTAGCCTGATTCACTTCTGAATTTGGAATGCAGAGCACTTTAAAGACCTGCCTGGTCTCCTCAGGCATCTGTAGCTCCGTCGGCCCACGGTGGAAAGGGGAGTGAGGCAATGGGGAGCACAGATCCGCCTGCTCTCTGATCTCCAGAGCAGGCAATGAACGTGGCCATTTAGTCCAGTGTCTGAAATACACACTCCGTGTCCACTACAGCCTCTAACTCAAGTATCGCTAGCGTCCCCTGAATTGCCTGCAAATATTACAAAGCAGGGTCTTGGTCCACTTGGTTGGGCGCTTATTCCAGGATAGACGTGGCAGTTCACCTTTTCATGGTGAAAGCCAAGTTCTCTGAGTATTTTCTCACTATGGAAACTACACAGCAACCTCCCAGTTGTATAAACGCTCTTCCGTTACGTGCGAACACGTACGCACATCAAATCTCAGCTCGGTGACGCAAGCGACACCTGCTGCCTCCCACACGCCACTCCCAATGAAAAAGAAAAGATGTAAGAAAGTCTAGAGGTAAGACAGGAAGGGGAGATAGCGGATGTGCTTCTGGAAGAGAAATGGACACCCGGCCCTTCGTTACCTTCCCGGAGCAGGAGGGCCTGCTCCACGCCACTTCTCGGAGCTGCCAGCTCCAGTGCACTTTTCCCCTCAGCATTTCTGCACCTCAGCGGAGCGCCATAGTCCGCTAGCAGGTGGATGATGTCCACGCTGGACTGCCTCGCGGCGGCATGGAGTGGAGTGTCCAGACTTTGGCCGCGGTCCACGCTGGCTCCTTGAGGAAGCACAGGACACAAGTCAACGCTGAACGTTAGTGTGGAAATACGATGGGCCTAAAATACAGTAGCTGTGGACAAAGGCATCTTAAATGTTATGACATGTTGACAAATCCTTGAAAACGTCTGACCCAAGCCTGGAGCCTCAGCAATGGCTGCTGAAACCGCTTCAAAGGACTTTGATGAGAAAAGGGAAGAGAGAGAGTTTTTCGGTCACTTAATATACTCTTTTTGCCTTTCCATATGAACTGTGTGACAAACCAAATGAAATATTTGCAACGCCTTTTATGCAGAATTATTTTGTTTTCTGGCAAAGGATAAAGTTAAGATGATCTGGCATTGATACTATGCTGGGCTCAAAGAAAAAGATTTCTGAACTACTACAGGGAGTAGTAAATGATAGGGGATGAAAAAGACAATCTTGGAGATAAAAATTCTTAGTACAGCCTCTAATGTCAGTGGCTAAGTTTGGGGAATCTTTAATCAAATAATAATTTCAAGACATTTTACTTTTCCCTGGACTCCCAGGGCCTGTATATGCCTTTTAGAATTAAGAAAGTCACTAAGTAACTTAGCGGGATTGGTCTAAGGGAATCTATAGCAAATGTCTGTTATTTTGGCTACCCAGCATCTTCCTGATAACCACGCCTAGGTCTCCCTCTAGGGAAACAACCCCTGTGATCCCCGACTCATGTGTTTCCAGTGGAGTCCAATAACTTCAGGGTAGACTGAAATCTAGACCTAAGCCAATCAGTGCATTGTATTCTTTTGGCCACCATGATTGGTTCAGAGATGGGCATGTGACTCAAACAGAGCCAATGAAATAAAATTGTATCTTCCCACTAGGTCTTACGGGAAAGAGGCTCTTGCTCTCTCTTGAAACCACCAAAGAGAACCATACCAGGTAAACGGAGCCAAAGGAAGTAGACACTCATTTCTCTGGAAAAGTTCTGTTTTAAACGTTCAAACATCAAATCCCGTCAGAATTGTGTCCAGCCAAACAAGAACTTTGTCTTTAAAGCCATGGGAAACCAACAAGGTTAATAGGTTCTTCTCATAAAAAGATTTCTGGAAGTTACCTAATTCTAGAAGTTTCTTCACACAGTCTACCCTCTGGTAGGTGCAGGCCACATACAGGGGAGTTCCAAGGTGGGGCACTTCTTGGTCAATGTTAACGTTATTTGCCAGCAGAATCTCCATGCACTCTCTGTGACCTGGTGAAACAAAAGATAACCTTACTCAAGTAAGAGAAATATTGACTATTTACAGAGCTACAGAAGTGCTTACCTGGAATGGGCTTTAGAAATAACCTAGCAGGTGACACAAAAACAGACACTCAGATCAATGGAACATAATCGAGAACCCAGAAATGGACCCACAAACGTATGGCCAACTAATCTTTGACACAGCAGGAAAGAATACCCAATGGAATAAAGACAGTCTCTTCAACAAGTGGTACTGGGAAAACTGAGCAGCAACATGCAGAAAAATGACGCCGGACCACTTTCTTGTAGCATACACAAAAATAAACTCAAAACGGATGAAAAACCTAAACGTAAGACAGGAAGCCATCAAAATCCTAGAGGAGAAGGCAGGCAAGAACCTCTTTGACCTTGACTACAGCAACTTCTTATTCAACACACCTCCTGAGGCAAGGGAAATCAAAGCAAGGCTGAACTATCGGGACCTCATCAAAATAAAAAGCTTCTGCACAGTGAAGGAAATAATCAGCAAAACTAAAAAGCAACTGACGGAATGGGAGAAGATATTTGCAGACGACATATCAGATAAAGGGCTAGTATCCAAAATCTATAAAGAATTTATCAAACTCAACACCCAAAAAACAAATAATCCAGTGAAGAAATGGGCATGAATAGACACTTCTCCAAAGAAGACATCCAGATGGCCAACCGACAAACGAAAAAATGCTCAACATCACTCATCATCTGGGAAATACAAATCAAAACCACACTGAGATACCAGCTCACACCTGTCAGAATGGCTGACAGTGACAACTCAGGCAACAACAGATGTTGGTGAGGAGATGGAGAGACAGGATCTCTTTTGCACTGCTGGTGGGAATGCAAACTGGTGCAGCCCCTCTGGAAAACAGTATGGAGGCCCCTCAAAAAACTAAAAACTAGAACTCCCCTATGACCCGGCAATTGCACTACTAGGTATTTATCCAAGGGATACAGGTGTGCTGTTTCAAAGGGGCACATGCACCCCGATGTTTATAGCAGCGCTATTGACAATAGCCAAAGTACAGAAAGAGCCCAAATGTCCATCGATGGATGAATGGATAAAGATGTGGTATGTATATACAATGGAGTATTACTCGGCAATCAAAAAGAATGAAATCTTGTCATTTGCAACTACGTGGATGGAACTAGACGGCATCATGCTAAGCGAAATTAGTCAGAGAAAGACACATATCATATGACTTCACTCATATGAGGACTTTAAGATACAAAACAGATGAACATAAGGGAAGGGAAGCAAAAATAATATAAAAACAGGGAGGGGGACAAAACATAAGAGACTCTTAACTCTGGAGAACAACACAGGGTTACTGGAGGGGGTGTGGGGGGGGAAAGGGCTACATGGGTGAGGGGCAAGAAGGCATCTATGCCTGAAACCACTGTTGCACTATATGCTAACTTGGACGTAAAGTATTAAAAAATAAATTCTAGAAAGTAAAAAAAATAAATAAATAAAAAGAAAGAAAGAACCTAGTGAGGTGTCTGGGTGGTTCAGTCACTTAAGGGTCTGACTTGATTTTGACCCAGGTCATGATCTCACGGTTCATGAGACTGAGTCCCAATTTGGGCCCTGTGCTGACAGCATGGAGTCTGCTTGGCATCCTCTCTCTCCCTCTCTCTCTGCGCCTCCCTCGAGCTTGCTCCCTGGCTCTCTCTCTCTCTCAAAAATAAATAAACATAAAAAGAGAAAGAAAGAGCCTAGATAATTTTTAAATAGAAAAAAAAATCTTTTTGGAAATCTCAGAAAATTCTAGAATAACGACCATTAAAAGGAAAAGAATGCCCATACTTCCCCACTTCAATTCCTCTTTGCAGCCCTTGAGGTGCCTCCAACTAAACTAAGGGCTCCTAGGAGCACAGCTGAAATCATCCTTTACAGTGAAGCCACCAGTTTACAAACGGAGGCTGCGAGGTGCAGAGGGGGTGAACGACTCACAAAAGCCAGTGCTCAAATCCAACGCTCAGCCCTGAGCCCTCTTCATTACAAATCTCTCATTCTCTTCTTCACCCACATATGGTTGCCCCTCCTTATTTTGGCTAACCTATGAGAATATAAAGCTTCCAAAGATGGAATATATTTCACTGCACTTTCAAATTCAGGGGTTAACAAGAACTCCGTAAACAAGCTTACTCCTCAGAGAGAGGCTGCCCCATGAATAGGCTCGATTGGTCTGCAGCATATGAATGATATGATAGGCAGCAAACACTTCCTAGGCATCGATGGGAGCTTGTAAAGAGTTTGTTCTCTTTGAAGATTTCAATATTTTCTTAACAAATCTTACCATCGCTTAATCAAACCTTTCCTTTATAAGATAACATAAAAGCACGCTTCACCTCCGACCTGCATGATTCATCGCAAATGCCGAATTAAGTATAAATATGCATTGAAATGTGCAAATACGGACCCTGTGGATCCTAACTATTTGTTCACAGAAGTAAATATTATACCGGGATTACAGCCTCAATATGTCAAGGTATGGCTTCAGACTGACCTAGCCTGTTCGCAGAGGTTTCAAGCTGTAAGAATCCAGAAATAATATCTAACCAGTACCTAAAACTGACTGGTAAATACAGGGTATCTAATAAACATTTTTAAATAATTCCTGTCCTGGGGTGCCTTGGTTTCAGCTCAGGTCATGATCTCACAGTTTGTGGTTTCGAGCCCCGCATCGGGCTCCATGCTGACAGCGTGGGGCCCGCTGGGATTCTCTCTCACTCCCTCACTCTCTGCCCCTCCCCCACTCCCCTGCTCTCTCAAAATAAATAAGTTTAAAATAAAAGATAATTCCTGTCCTTTTAATTTTTTCTTCTTTGCAAAAGAAACTGAGCCTGGTCCGAGTTAAATTTGAGTACTCACAGGAAGTTAAAAACAATTAATATATAAATGATTAACATTAATACAACCGTATCTAAAATAATGAATTTGCTATTTTTTCTTCCATTCTTTGGATGTTGGTCCCTAACATGCTTTTAGATACAGAATAAAATATGTAAAGCCACATGAATTCATGTGTTATAAGTATGTATGTATTTTGAAGGCACAGAGATACCAAACACTCCAACCTAAAACCATCCAAGCACTGCAGAACTACTTAACTAATTCAAACCATTCCCGATATTTATCCGTTTTTAAATGTTTGGATGGAAGTGCAAATAACAGATTGATTTTTACTTTAAATCAATGGTAAAAAAATTTTTTAAACTTTTAGATCATTTCCAAAACAGACCATTTTTCTTCAGCTTAAAGGACCTCCTTGAAGTTTGGGTAATGACCAACCTCAGCTATTAATCAATAGATGTTTATTAAATATGTATAAGACATCGAAACCATAGATACATTGGAATTTGGGCCTTTTGTTTCATTTAAAGTAATCCATAAACAAAGGGGGAAAAAGAAAAGAAAAAAGAGACTCAAATACAGAGAATACACCGAGGATTGTAAGGGGGGGGGGTGAGTGGGGGGATGGGTGAAAGTGGTGAAGGGAATTAAGGGCACACTGTGACGAACACTGAGTAATGTGTAGAATTGTTAACGCCTTCATTGTACAGCTGAAACTAATATAACACTGTATGCTAATTATACTTCGATTGTCAAAAAATGAGGGGAAAAGCACAGAAAAAAGTAATCCGCTGCCAAAAATAAAATTACCAAGTGACATATTTAATAACCTGGGGCAAATCTTTCACTATTGCCTTTTGAAATACAGACTTTTCATCCACAATTATCACCAGCAAAGATCACTGTTGTACAGTATTCTACCTTCCCCAATTGTCTTTGTGACCTCAATGGAAGAGAGTAACTCCACCGGTGGGTGACAGAAATGCTGCTCTTTCAGGGTGATTGTTAACAAATGGCCTTGACCTTTCAAGGGAATCTTCTTGTTCTGTCTAGCCAATGCATGGAGTTTTTAAAGACCTTAATTTTATTCTTTTCCCTCAATTCAAACGTAAGGGCGAACACAGGAAGCTAGAATCAACGTGAAGGTTTCTAATGCCACGCTTTTTAAAGTTGTCATCTTTTTTCAGTAACTAATGGCCTTGAAGTCGGCAACTCATCTAGAGTATAAGGCGCCTTGTGGACAGTTACGTTTAATCTTCCATTAGGGATACCATCAGCCTCGGCTTTCAGACACTTTCATCATTCATTTTATCTTAGCGGTCGATGTTTTATGGGCTTTGGGAGAGGAGCTGTTCTTTTCTAGTAAATGCAAGACAGAAGCAAAGCACGCCTCGTGGAAGTCACCCCTGCGGTCCTGACTGCACCAGGAGCCACCAAACCACCAGCAAAGCACTCCTAGAGAGGCCCGCCGAGAGACGGACTCCCCGGGCAAGGCGACATCTCAGGCAGAAAGCCATTCCCGGGTTATAAGAAGGGCTGTTTCGTGCCCCATCAGTATTTCCTGAAGACTGAGGCACCACAGAGTGGCTGCTCTGGGATTCTACGCGACACACAGCCCACCGGCCCCCCTACCGGTGGAGGTCCGGGTGCTCCTTGCGTGGTGATCGCTGCGCTGCTGGCCGGTGCACATCGGAGTGAGCGCACCGATGTAGCGTGCGCGGTGGGACGGCCCACGTACCTCTCTTCACTGCCTCGTGGATGGGTGAAGCCAGGTGCGCCTCCAGCTGGGCCTTGGCGCCAAACTCCAGAAGCACGTTGACGCACGCAGCACTGCCGCTGCGGCACGCGTTGAAGAGGGGCGTGGCTCCGTGAACCGTCACTCCGTTGACCTATTGATGAGCAGAGAGACCCAGAGGATTCGGGATGTTTCTATCGCCGTCTCCAAGCGGTTATTCCTAAGCATCTGCCTGGAGAAATTTCCCATGCTGGTGAATGAGCGAGGGACCTCGATGTCATTACACTAGCATGGTTTTTGGATACCAGGAATCTATCAACCCCCACCTACAAATAATATCCCAAGTGGGGCCAAATGGGACAGAGCTTTTCAAACGTATGCATGGGTATTCCAGAGCTGCTTAGGAGCCTCCTAACCATGGAGGAGCGGTCCCGTTTGGTGGTGAAGAGCATGGCCGCTGGAATCATTAGCTTGGGTTCAGCTCTCAGCACTCTCTCTTCTATTTGTTCAGAAACCTTGGTCGGGTTGCTAACTCTCTGTGCCTCAGTTACCTTATCTGTAAAATGAGGATCATTAAAGAATCTGCCTCATGAGGTTATGGGTCGATCAAGTGAGTCACCCACCACATGTTATAGACTTAGAACATTGCCCGGTGCCCACTGAGCATGTAATAAACATTTGCAACAGCAGTTATTTTCATTCGCCATCACTATGGCGCCGACTCCCCACCCCAATCATGAGCAAACATGGTAGGAGCTACAAGTACTGGAGAGTCAGGTCCCCAAATCCGTGCTTGCAAAAAATCTCCTCGGTGGTTTTCCCACAGTTCTGTCTGTGTTGCCACAAATTTTCTTGCCGGTCTACTCTAGTCCATACAGATGGCATGTGCCAGCAGTGACTCCTAATGAGATCATGATCGAGTCAAAGGCACGAAGAAAATAGCCATCAACAGGGTGCCTCCAACCACCCCGGTGGGGGCGGGGGGGGGGGTCTAGGGGCGTGGGAGCCGCCTGAGAAGCAACACAGCCAGATGGCATCTTTGGGTATCGGCAATACATTGGCAAGAACATCAGGGAACCAAGGCATCCTGGTGGCGTGGCTCTGACAGAATCGAAACGTAGGACAAATGAGGGATTGATGTCAAGCCATTTTGCCTCAACAACTGAGGATGTAAGGGTGTGATCATCAGGATCCCCAATTTTCTGGTCTCAGAAACAAACAAAAAAGGTATTTCTCCACAGTCCCAGGATAGCCCCCATTATGTTGGAAAGTTGAGGAGGAAATGCGATGGTGGCAGCGACACACAAGGGGACGTAGTGTGTAAAGTCATACTTCTAACCTATTTGCACTTTTACTGAAAACAATATTTGGTGGAACTGGTTGGATTTGTTTTTACTGGGAATCATCCTCATCCTCAGTCCCGAAGTCTTCGAACTGGATTTCCTCAGTTTCTCTCTCGGGTCAGGTCAGCAAACATTTATTGTGCACCTATTAGGTCAGCGAGCATTTATTGAGCACCTATTAGGTGCCAATGTTTCGGAAACAGAGCGAGTATGGCCACTGTCTCTGCTGAATAGGTTGAATTCTATCAGGGAAGACAAACACAGAAAGATCGTTTCGGTACAAGAATCAATGCTTTGGAACACTATAGGTGCAACACAAAAGGGAATACAGACTTGCAAAGTATTTAGGAAGCAAAATTAGAGGGATGTGGTGGTGACTTCGTCGGGGAGATGAGAAAAGCAGGATGATCCCAGGTCTGGAAGCACAAGTTTCAGATGCGCGAAGTCTGAGGCACCCACGGGGCTGCCAAGTGTGAGGAATTTTCTACTGATTGACCAACTCTCCTTTATTCCTTGTCTCCTTCCGATTTAAATGTTAAATAACACAATCTTTATAGACTGTTTCTTCAAAAGATTGCCAAACACAGGAGACTACATCTTTTTTTTTTTTTTATTTTTTATTTTTTTTGTCCTCCACAAAATCTCCCAGAGCTGTACCAGCACACACTCCCCCCACACCCCGGTGTGGTTTGCTGTTTCCCACCAACAGAAGGAAACGACCCTCACGCAACCTCACCCACATCGCTACACGCGAGTTGACCGCGTGGTAACTTCAGGAAGCATCACCTGATAAAAACATGACCCCTGTGGCATCGGGAAAAATCACTTTGCCCCAGAAAGACTTTTATATTCAGTTTGACATGTAGAAACCCAACTTCCATATAAAATGCAAAGAAAAGCTTCAGTGAGTGCTTAAAAACATCGCAGCTCATGAAACCACACAATGACTGAGTTAAAAACCTGAAATTCGCAACCCGATGGTATCTGGCAACTAAATAAATGCCATCGAGATTTTCGAAAGTTTTGATTTCACGGTTGTGTTGTGATACCTGTATTACACACAGCACCTCAGCCACTCGGGCTTGGACTAAGGATACTGGGGGGTGTCTGGTATCATTGAGGCACTATATTGTACGCCTGAAACTAATATACCACTCCATGTTCACTATACCCAAGTTAAACACAGTAATTAAAAAAATAAAATCAATACAAAAAGAAAAGAGAAAAGGAGATATAAGGATAAAATTTTAAAATAAGCTGAAGTTAATTCTGTCGGATTTTTTCAATGTATTACTTGTTAAAAGCTTATTTAATTTGATGGTCTTGCTCAATAAAAACAGCCGTGGGCTTAAGGTGTTAAGAGTGGGTTTTGTTGTGGTTCTTTTAAATTGTGCTCTTCCTCAGGTTTCACAACTGATTTCCCGCGATCGGTTTCAAATAACTTGAGTTTGAGTCGATCTCTTGAAACTCGGCATCACGATTTTCAAACATTTCTGTGAATGACCTCAATAGAATGTTCGCCCGAGGGCACAGAGGCTGAAGAAGGGCGTGACCGCAGGGTCTCAGGAATGTGCAAGCAGACAGGGCCTGACCTGTCTACACCCCTGGTGGGTGCACAGCCTGGAGGGTGGCATCTGTTTAGACGCTAGCAGGTGCGCCTGGACAGACGGAGTTGCGGGGGGGGGGGGAGCGGGGGGGTACTCACGTGCGCGCCGTTTTCCAATAAGGCTTTAGCGCAGGCTACGTGACCTCCGAGGCACGCCTCGTGGAGCGAAGAGACCCGGTTAATTGTCACGAGGTTCACGTTGACACCCTAGAATTTGGAGAGAAGGGGTCAAGGCTGCATTAGCGGGAGCCATGCCGGCAACTCCCGGACTTCAGAGTAGACGGCGCTCCGGGATTCATACGCCGTAGTAGCAGCAAGCAGTGCCCTGGGTCGCAACGCCGGTGCGTGGAGAGGCCTTCTCCCAGCCTCACCTCCTTACCCAGCCCCAGCACGCCCCCCTCCTCTCACTGCCTGCTTCCTTGTCTTGGAGTCCACGTGATAGGTGACGAGATCAGCCCCACTGCTGGCCAACTCTGACTTCGTGCCCTGATTTTCACACCTTGGCCCTTACCATCCCCCCCCCAGCCCCCCATGATTACCACTTTCTGTCTGTGAAAGGAAGAGGTCCCTGTCAGCTTTTCTGAATTGAGTTCTGCTTCTGATTTCCTGCCTCCTAACTGACCCACCGAAAACTTCCAAAACCTAGTGCATGACCCTGAACCCCCAAACCCCAACCTAAGTTCCCACCATCTCCTGCCCCATGTCCCTGGTGCTGGAGGCATCGCTGCTGTGGCCAGCAGCTGGGACTTGCCACTATTGTCCTGTCCCTTCATTTTAGGGTCTCTCTATGCCTTGGTCTTGTCCATTCTTCTGTCCTGAATATGATGTCATTACTCTAGAACTGTGCCGTATATTTCAAGTTGGGCATTTAATACAATTAGGAAACTTTTTCCTACATATTTCCTTTAAAGAAAAGAAAAACAGGCTAGTCCACAGGGTGGCAGCAGCGTGCTAGAAAAAAACCACTTGTCGTCTGGCGCAAACTCAGAATCCCTGGATTTGTACCCATGTAATAATGGACAGGCCAGAAAGACCATCTAGAATGAATCGCCTTCGTTGTGCCCGAGAACATGGAGAGGCACAAAGTTCAAATTAGTAATAAGACTTAAGGCGCCTCAGCTGTCGATGACAGCCGGCACGGGAGTCAGGAGCTCCTGATCCCTGGTTTCGTGCTTCACTCCACAACCCTATATGCGAAATAAAGTAAAAAATAAAAAAAAAAAATAGAATTACACATTGTTTTACTAGTGTGTAAGGGTAAAGAAGGGGGCATGCACCGGGAACCCGCTGCACTTCTCTCTGAAGGGCGCTCCTTACACATTTAAGCACACTGGCTTACAGAAACCAACATGGTTGTGAACTATCCTTAAAAATAAAGGGGCACTGGGGCACCTGGGTGGCTCAGTCGGTTAAACAGCAGACTCAATTTCGGCTCAGGGTGTAATCTCACGGATTGTGAGTTCGAGCCCTGTGTTGGGCTCTGTGCTGACAGCATGGAGCATGCTTGGGATTCTCTCTCCTCTCTCTGCTCCTACACCACTTGCACATTCTCTCTCTCTCTGAAAAATAAATAAACATAGAAAATAATAAAGAAGTACCAGATACAATATGGGATCCTGGATTAGAGCCTGGAAGAGAAAAAGGACTCTGTGAGAAAACTGATGTGATCCCAATAGTCTGCAGTTTAGTTAATGGTATTGTACCAATGTTAATTTCTTCTTTTTGACTCAAGTAACATGGTTATGTACTATCAGCGGTAGGGGAAGTTGGGCGAAGTGTAGGTGTATGGGAGCTGTCTGTACTCACATTTTGGAACGATGTGAATCTATTACATATAAAAATAATCAGATCAAATTTTAAAGTGCTTAAAAATAAATAAGCAAATGATAAAAATCAGGTACAAAATCCCTTTGATCATTACTGGCAGTACTGTTTTCTTTTTACCTCTACTTTCTTAAGAGGTAACACAACTTACAAATGAGAAAGCAAAAAAAAAAGCACACCCGTGCGTGCGTGTGTGCATGCACGTGTGAGTGCGCGCGCGCGCGCGCGCACACACACACACACACACACACACACACAGCAGTGCACCCAGCTGTTTAAATTGAAAATAGTAAGGAAGCCCGCTTCGGCGGTAGCTAGAATGTAGAAAAAGATATAATAAATCACCTCCTCCATACACACGTGGATTCTAAAACAAACAAAGTCAATGGAGCATGTACACTTTTGTTCATCCTTTTACAAATATTTACTAAGCCGTTGCTCATGGTTCAAGGTGCTAGGGATACAGTCATAAATAAAATAAAGTAGTCTTAATAAGTAAGACTTTAATAAATCTTCCCAAGGGAGTAACATCTACCCAGGTCAACCCGTTGTGAAGTTTGCTCTTGAAATACTGTATCACCGGGGGGTTGGAGGACTCTAAGATGGTCCCCAGCGACCCCTGCTTCCTGTACCGGCTCACTCACTCCGTAATCCCCTCCCCTTGCCTGTGGGCTGGATCCACAGACTCACATCTAATGAACAGAATATGGCCGAAGCGATGGGGTATCACTTTGGAGAGTACGCTATACTCAGACTTGCTTCTTAGGCACCCTCTCCTGTTCTCTCTGGGGGAAGCCAGCTGCCATTTCATGACAGGGCCCTGTGGAGAGGCCTTTGTGAGGTGCCAGCGGCCCTGGCTGATACTGGGCTGCCTGCAAGAGACTCAGAGCCAGAACCACCCCGCCGGGCTGCTCCTCAGCCCTCCGAAACCGTGAGAATCTGCACTTGTTTTCAGCCACTGAGTTTTGAGGTCATTTGTTATGTGGTAACGGCTGACTAACGCAGCTTCCGGGCCATGGTCACTAAGGCCCGCCGGGAGAGTGCAGGGCGAGGTAGGGCAACAAAACTTTGAAGGCATCTACCGTCACCCTCACAGGGAAACTGCCTATGGAGTCAAGGCAGGCCCGGAGGGGGAAGGAGGGCACTGGGCAAAGTAAGATGAGTCCGAGTCCCCAGAAAGGAGAGGCAGGCGGAGCAAACGGTTGAGCTACAAAGAATACAGACACCTAGCCCGGCTGTGCGGGGAGCCACGTGGGGCACGCAAGACCCTGCTTCCGTCAAAGCTCATAAAGCATGGCGCTGATGGTTGTCCAGGCACAAAGGTTCAAGCGTTTGGTTCACTTACTTGTGCAATTAAAGTTTTAAGGGCCAGCAAGCGCCCCTGGGCCGCAGCTTCATGGAGTGGGGATCGATCAGCCCAGCAATCTGCAACACAAATCAAGCTCGGAGTCAAGGTCTGGAGTCTCCTTCCGGCAGCTCAGTCACGCTGGCCCCCCAGCCGTTGAGAGGAGGTTTGGGGAACAGGAGGGAAGCTTGGACCACGCACCAGGCTCTCTCAGTTGCCACTTTCAGGGTGACATGCCACCGAGGGTACAGTCCACCCGTTTAGTGGCGTGTGGGGACAGGGGGCACGTAACATCTCTCTTACTTTTTGGGGGGCGGTTTTAATTTCAGACGACACAATCTTCCAGGCTTTTCTGGGGGCAGTTGAGTGTGATGGCTATGTTCAGAGCCAGTGGGGCCACATGGCCTGTTCAAGTCCTACCTCAACCATGTTCTGCCGAGAAGGGCAAGTTATTAAAATTATTTCTTTTTTTTTAAATGTTTTTTATTTATTTATTTCTGAAAGAGAGAGAGACAGCGTGAACAGGGGAGGAGCAGAGAGAGAGGGAGACATAGAATCTGAAACAGGCTCCAGGCTCTCAGGTAGCTGTCAGCCCAGAGCCCGACACAGGGCTCGAACCCACGAACCGTGAGACCATGACCTGAGCCGAAGTCGGATGCTTAACCGACTGAGCCACCCAGGAGCCCCTAAAATTACTTTGACCTCAATTTCATGATCCATAAAATGGGAGTATAGTGATTTAGTACTTAGCAAGGGCTTTGGTCTCAAAGTAGGCCAAGAAAGCACATCCCTAATGCTAGGTACTCAAGCAATTTGTGAGTATAAAGTACAGACGCTGTACTTAGGCAGTGCCCTAAGGAGCAGTCGGATCTGTCTCCCAAATATTTCTTTTCCTGTAATTGCTTGTCAGCAAACAAGACTAACCAGCTTCAACGGGACCTGCCCCAGTTTGTAAAACTTCAAATACGATCGTGCTCTTCATACACTGCGAAGCATGCAATACAATTTGGATTCTACCCGTCTTATCAACCTTTTCTAGGTGAAAGCAACCCCATCAAAGACGGGGTTCCGTGAAGGCGACACAGCTCGAGGCCGCAAGGACGGAGTGAACTTTTCCAGCAGATGAGAACCAGGGCTATCAATATTTCAGCAGGCCATCTTCCTGCGGAGGAAGTCAACGTTCATCTTCTCTAACCTCTGCATTACAAAAAGGGGGAAGGCTAAAATGAACTCTACGGTGTTGGAGTGAAGTTGGAGGAGTTGGTATGAAGACATGATTTTCAATATTTGTGTATTTATATTTATACTATTGTAACGAGGTCTTGGAGAAACGGCTGATTCCAGGGCTGGGCCAGGAAAAATCTGAGATAAAGGTGGCCTCAAACACCTTGCCAGAAAGTGAATGATGGGACATGTCAAAAAGACGCAGAAGCAGGGCCCCTGGGTGGCTCAGTCGGTTGAGCGTCTGACTTCGGCTCGGGTCATGATCTCACGGTTCGTGGGTTCAAGCCCTGCGTCGGGCTCTGGGCTGACAGTTAGCTCAGAGCCTGGAGCCTCTCTTTAGATTCTGTGTCTCCAGCTCTCTCTGACCCTCCCCCGCTTGCACTGTCTCTCTCTCTCAAAAAAAAAAATAAATTAAAAAAAAAAAAAAAAGACGCAGAAGCTGGCTTGAAGAATCTTCCACTGGTCAAGTATGGGATGCCCTCAGCATCAAAATACAAAGTGACAGTAGGAGATTATACCCTATCAAATAAAATCGGAATCTATAAGTACTGACTGATATCAATTGATATACAAATAGCACGGAGGAAGCTCTCCCTCACAGTACAACACCAACTTGGAAATGTAGAAGAAATAGCAGAATCTGACCCAAGTGATCGCCTCCCTATAATTACTAGTTATAAAGGAAATGCAGGCGATTTTACAATAGGACCAAACTGTAGACACTACCTTACCCACGGGGTCAAAGTTAACATCCGAAGTGACGGAACAAATTGGCACACCGTGTCGTGTGATGGAACGCAGTGGGCCACATCATGTACTATCGGAAGGAATGCGATGAAAGAAATGCACCATAGCATCTGTGATATTCCTGCTCGAGGTGCATAATCCAAATCTAATCCTGAGGACACTGTGAACCAACTCAAACTCTAAAGTAAGTGGCCTGTAACGTGTTCAGGCAGGGACAGAGGAACCGTTCCAGATTGAAGAAGGCTGATGAAACACAACATCTAAAGGCAACAGTCATCACTTTGCTCTCAAGGACGTTACTAGGAAAGCAGGACAAATATGAATGGGGTCTCTGGGCAAAGAGAAGTGGGAATTCTTGGTATCACTCTTGGGACTTTTCTGTCACTTCGAAATGAGCTCCAAGATTTAAAAGTATGTATACATACGTACACACACATATGTAAATTGGAACTAATTTACATAAACACACACACACACACACACATATAATCACTGGTGTTTTCATACGCCTGATATGAAGGTACAATGCTTTGATAAGAAAAAGGGATAAGAGGGGCGCCTGGGTGGCTCAGTCGTTAAGCGTCTGACTTTGGCTCAGGTCATGATCTCACGGTTCATGGGTTCGAGCCCTGCATCAGGCTCTGTGCTGACAGCTCAGAGCCTGGAGCCTGTTTCAGATTCTATGTCTCCCTCTCTCTCTGACCCTCCCCTGCTCACGCTGTCTCTCTCCCTCTCAGAAATAAATAAAAAACATTGGGGAAAAAAAAAGAAAAACGAAGAAGAATCGTAACATGAAAAAATAGTGTGTTTGTATCTCCACTTGTTCCTGAGTCACTTAAAAGCTAATGAATGGAGTACCTGAAAATCTCTTTGGACATTTATAATTTGCATAAGCTATGAATAATGACATAATGAATGCATATAATCCTCAATTAGTCAGCCTTGGTTCTCTTCTAATACATCTTCACCTCATTCAATATGAACTGTGTATCGGACCTGTTACGCTCTGGCCTAATTGCTCTTGACAATGGACCTGGGCTCCGGGGCTGGGAGGTCAGTCTTCATCCACGGATGGCACTAGCACCCTGACCAATATAAGAAGCAAACCTACAGCCGTGGCTCCGTTATGCCTTCGTTCCAACAGGAGCCAGTGACCCTGCGTCACCTGAAAGTACAATAAGTACTCAATCGAAAAATCAGAACAAGATTTACAATAACTAGCTATTGTGAAATTAGAATGCTAACACGAAGTGGCATTATTATTTTTAAAACTTACTTCCAAGTAGGCTATGGGGTCCCCTTTTCTTCTGAGAAGCAGGAACCTTAACTGCATCTTCGTCTTATTTCTAGTAACTTCTGTTACTCACCAGTCCCATAACACCCACTCCGCACATACAACCTGGATAGATCTCGAAACCTAATGTTGAGTGAAGGAAGCCAGACACAAAAGGGCACGTGCTGTGTGATCCCTTTCCACAAAAGGGGGTCAAATTCGCCTGGAGTCAAAAGGACCCCAAGCAGGGGTGGGGGCTGACGGGAAGAGGAACTGCTTGGGGCCATGCTGATAATATGCAGTATCCTGCTCTGGGGAGCTGGTACCTGACTGTGCTCACTTTGTGGAAATTCATCCAGAGGTTTCCTTAGAATTTGTGCCCTTGTCTGTATTTACAAAGCTCTTCAATAAAGGGACTTGAAAATGACCAGTGTACTGGTCAGTCCACTTTGGAAAGATAATCTCCACTCCTCTACCTCCTCCCCGCACAGGGGATGGCCCTCGCCGCCACCCAAGCAGCTGGGACGGAAGAGCAGCGTGTCCTCAAACATGTTCTGACCTCCTGGGTCTGGGTGCCAGCTCCCCTCGTGGTTTGGGGGTGGGGAGAAGAGAGAGGGAGGATGTCTCCCCAGGGAAGTGGAATCTAAGGCAGGTCTCGCTTGCTCACTGCCTCAACTGCCCCCCTTCCTGTCTATTGGCATTCGGCCACCTCTCCTGGTGTCCCCAGTAAGTTGCCCCAGTTGACTTCCAACTTGAGAGATACCCAGCTCCCCTCCTTTCAGAGGCCCTTGATCTAAACTTGTATTTCTCCTGAAGCTGCCCCCCCCCCCCCCCCCGCCTTGGCCTTCAAGAGAGGAGGGAAGAGCCAAGCCTCACTTCACGAACCGGAACGCCCCAAAACGCATGACAACCCATTTGCCCCGCGTAACGAGACCTCACTTCCAGTAAGTGGCAGAAATAGTACTGAATTCCAAGGTTTTGTGACCTAGAACACGCCCTGCTCTGGTGTTAAGAACTGCTGGTTTGAGATCCCGCCTAACCTCGAGGGAGATTTCTTGGCCGGGGATGCTTCGCTCTATCCACCATCTCTCGATGCATAGCGTGAAATGAATTCATTTGTATCACCTTCGACGTAGAACTCATCTTTGTTTCCCAACTGGAAACACACCCACTCTCCCGGAAGTCACCTTCCCAGTCACCTTGTCACTGCAGTCTTTTGCTCTTATCGGTCTTGTTTCGCAAATCGGAGCTAAGTGTGAGAAATTAAGGATAGAAGTTACTTGGCAGCTAGGGAGTTTTTCCATTCCCTTCAGGAAATATCAACTAAGCTCTCCAAATGAACGCGCGCCTAAGTAGGACTCAACCAGTCTATTTTTAGTTCTTGGGCAGACTGCCTGTATCACGGGGCTGCAAGCACGTTATGAAGCTAGTTTACTGGACAAATATGTTTACTTGTTCCTGATGAAGTGTATGGAAAATGTTCAAGTGCGTTTTCATCCTCCTCCCCCACCGTGGACTTTTTCTCAGAATATGATTTAGATTTCTAGTTCTCAGATTCTTCGAATAACACTTGCATGACAACTTCTCAAACCACACATTTCAGTAACAAAATCGGTTCCGAGGGGATACAGTGGTCTGACTGCCAAGTATTCAAGATAAAAACCTATTGTTGGGGCGCCTGGGTGGCTCAGTCGGTTGAGCGTCCGACGTTTGCTTAGGTCATGATCTCACGGTTCGTGGGGTCGAGCCCCGCATCGGGCTCTGTGCTGACTGCCGGCTCAGAGCCTGGGCCTGTTTCAGTCTGTGACTCCCTCTCTCTCTGACCCTCCCCTGCTCACGCTCTCTGTCTCCTAGAAATAAATAAAACAAAAACAAACAAACAAAAAAACCTATTGTTACTGTTATTATTATTAAAAAAATTTTTTTTTTGCAATGGCCCCCTTCCTGATTCTGACAAGTATTCGAGCTTACTGGTTTATTATTTTTAAAGAACCCCCTAACCGGTTCTAATCTCTAGTGCACATGGGACAACCTTTATTCTCTTAATTCAAGTTCCAAGATTATACGAAGCAGTATCTTCTCCTGTAGCATTTATCAAAGAAAAAATATTTAAAAGGAATCTCAATTTTGAACCAAAATATACACAGGAGCCTAGCAGAATTAATGACGTTTTAAGTAAGACAAAGGTAATGGGAAAAGAACATATTATAATAAATTTCCTGAGATATCTAAAATATTGTAATAAGATTGAGTTAAAATGCACACTCTCTAGAACACTCGATTCCAGTCAGGCGATGCACCATGGTCAATGAACCCCTTTTTGCAGGGTGTTAGGAGGTTCCCCTGAGCCCATCAGGGGCAGGAGAGCTGAGCTAAAGGCAGCGGCTGGTTGTCCGAATCTGGGAAGGCCGGTGGGCACTTGTGATACGTCGCCACGCAGAGGATGGCAGCGCCAAGGCTTGAGACGACAACCAGCAACCCTGAACGAGAGCAGAGGGCTAGGTAGATGGCTGGGCAAGAATGGACCAAAAGCTGGAAAAACCAGCTGGTCGGGGAAGGATAGGAAAAAGCAGTCTGCGTGATGAGTCACACAGAGGCAGGGCCATCACATCAAGGTGAGTCAACTGAATTTAGAACAAGGACAACCCTTCTTAAGGGTTAACACTTAGCCTGGAACTCGTCTTTTAGATTTGGCTTCACATAAACATTAAGAAAAGAAAAAAGAATACAACAGTTCCACGATCTCGTATCTGCAACTGTAAAATCCCCCAAAGTTTGAGAACCAAGCTTTCCCCCAAGTTTGATGCAGACTCCTTTGGCAGCGAAACACGGTTAAGAAATTTTATTCTTTTTACTTTGTAGTTTTGCTTAGTTGAAATATCCAGTATCAGATAGAAATAGAAATATCAAAATGTTGGATTTGGGGAGGCGGCTCGAGGCGCCGCTGGGAGTGCTGCGTAAATACACTATACACATGGTGCAATCCTTCTAGCAGCCCCCAGACTCCTGAATCCTGAACCATGTCCGGCCCAAGGTTGTGAAAACAGATGATCAACCTGTATCTATACTCTACTTTTATCCAGTTTGATGACCAAGTCCTGTACTAAATACAGTTCAATTCTGGCCAACTTAGCCAAGGCAGAAAAGTCAGATACCACATCTGTCGTGAGAAAGTGCCCGCAGAGAGATCTGTGGGCTGAAGGTGGGGCCCAGTAATCCATCGGGTGCCAAGGGCTAATGACCATGTTTTCAGCTTAAATACGTATGTGTGTGTGTGTATATATATATATATATATATATATACACACACACACACACAATTGACGAATCACACAAAGAAGCCTGAAAAATAAAAATTAAAAAACAAAAAACAAAAAACAGCCAACCTGGTTTAACTCAAGTCTGGTAAGTTATCTACAAATGCAATAGTTTAAGCCACAGAGACTTGAATGATGTATTCCAGAATGTGAACGGCCAGAAAAAAAAAATTCCAGAAGATTTTACAGCCCCGAAAATGGCATTTAACGAGGGACAGGATGCTAGGTTTAGCTATGACAGGCTAAATAAACCCTGCCCTGGTCGAGAGTTTTTTACTGCCCTCCCCTTGTTTCTGACAGCTCTGACGATAGTTTACAGGAACATAATATGCTATTGGAATCAAGAAATTTAACCTTGGGCTGAGACTTTTCTGAGTCAATTAGGTAACTTACTGATTAAATGTCACATATTTTCCCAACAGACATTTGTCTGACCAGTGAGCAGCAGAGAATTTCTGGGTTGAGCTGAACACTTGCGCAAGATTTTGTTCTTTATTTTTAATACATCTAGCTTTAAGAATATAGCATCTGACTGCTAACCGTGTCAGAAGAAACAAACCCAGTTTCTGGCATGTTACGGCCTGCATGATGACAGAAAGCCTTGTTTACCACAACTGGATATCCTGTCTACTATACACACGGGTGGGTGGGCGCATGTCTTTGTAAACACACACAGCCATCCACTCACACACATATGTGTGTACATAGGAAGGAAATTAAACCGAGAAATTAACAGGTACTATTCTCCCCTGGTCCCTGCCTTGTTAATGACAGTCAAAAAATACATTTCTGACTCTGTAACACAACATTACTTGCAAATTAAATGAGTATTATCGTAGGAGCTTGAACAAATAAAGGCATTTGAGCTAAGGGATGAATGAGCTCTAGTTAAGAGATTTGTAGGACAGCTCTGGACCCAAATCCAAACCATGCTTACCCGGGTTTTGACTAGTATAAAACCTTTTCACGAGTGTATTTCGTTAAGGACGACAAAGAAACAATGCATGTGAGCAACAGGAGCAAACATTCTAACATGCTCTTGCCAGTAAGGACTCCGTGGGATTTCACCTCATTTAAACCATGAGGACGATGTATCTCTGAGAACATCCAAACTGTGTTACTGAAACTCTCAGAAAGCCCCTGCTCATATTTACATATTAAATTAGAAAATAAGATTTTTCAGATCGCACTTAACTTGAAGCTAAAGAGCAGCTTTTTTCTTTTTTAACCAGTTCAAGCAACCAACCTACCTCCCTGAAACGTGTGACAAATGTAATCCCCAAAAGAAACCTCTTTCCACATCCCAGGCCTTCTGACACTTCCTGAAACTTCACGACTCTCCTCATTTCCCCCAGTTAATTGAAGCATTCTGATGCTTTCTCTCGGAAGGTCTTATTTCTTTGGATAAGACTGCTGTTATCTAGTGTCTTCAAAGTTGTCTAGCATATTAGAATCACACAGCCTAAGTCTGTTTTGAAAGAGAATCCTGGGTGCAAACTGAAATGGATGCTAGATAAAGAATGATGCCATCCTGGAAAGCCCGATGAACGCTAAAAATAACAGAGGGAAAATCTGAGCTCTGTTTACGAATAAATACTCCTCTCTCAGGTGACAAACCTAGCAGCGCCAAGTGTATCTGATTCATTTACTTTTGGGGCCTCTCACTATAACTGAGGTGAATCCTTTCTGGAGAGAAACAGAGACTAAATCCTACAAAGCAGGACAGTTTCAAACGTTTCACCCAAATGCTGGCATTTCATATGAGAAAAACCTTTGTTTGCAGTGGTGCCGCGTCATGAAGGATTTTTCCTGCCAGTGACAAGTGGCTAATCGATTCGCACTCCAAACGACAACACAAAACTATATATATATAAAAATATATATATATATATATATATATATATATATATATATATATAGCATGCCACCTTCGCTGCTTTACATCAGATTTATTGGTCATTCTATTTCCGGAGGGGACCCGGTCTTGTTAGAACGTGTTGTTAAAGTTTGTTGAAAACTATTAAAGAAAATTCCCTGTCGGTAATTTTTCAGGTTAGTAGAAACGAGATTTCTCCAAACACTCTTAAAAAGCCACCACCCTAGTCACTTCTTAAACAATAACCACTAATGGCATGACAAACTTGCAGAAATAAAGCTGGAAATCTTTTTTACAAGCTGGTACAGTCAACACCATTTGCCACTTCAAATCATCGTTTCCTAAAACTACCCACACAAAGCCAGACTGTAAATAAAATCCACCCTCCAGAAACATTATTCATACGAATGATCTAGGAGGGTTGGTTTTTTGGGAACAAATCCGTGTGATTTTACCTGAAATTCCACCATAGATCTCTTCTGCTATCCTAGCTGCTTCTTTTCTATTTCCTTTGACGATATAGAAATGAGTTAGGAGGGCCAAAAACACTTTAATCAAAAGTTTGAAGAAAAAGAAAGTAGCAAACATCGTAACAAAAATGTTTTTAAAGCCATAGGAAACAGGCCCGTCTTCCATTTTGGCTTGCACTCTCTACAGGTTCTCAGTGCCGCAAAATTTCAGAGTTATAATTGGTATCATATGACGTCTATTTTCAACTTTCTAGCCCTTGGTGCTCCTGTTACTGAGAACTCGTGTGTACATTCTAAGCTGTGATTTGGCGGCGGCATGTGCTGTTTCATAGCCGTGTGAAATGAACTAAAGAAGCTTCATTCCTCAGTGCTGTTTAACAAACGGGATTCCTGTCCCGATCTTGTCGATCCCTATTTCCCAATTTGTGCCACATTATGTTGGAAGGCAGTAGCAGAAAGATAAAACAAACTTGTCAGATCCCAGAGTGGCAAGGCGAGTTATCTGAAGTGGAAAGTACTGGCCCCAGAGCATTTCATTTTCTCTTCATTCTGAGGTTTATGGGAGATAATGGCCCAATCTAAAATATGACCGGTTTAAAAAAGACCATTTACTCTAAGGCAGTACTTAATAAAAGGCTCGCCTTGGATGCCTGTCCAAGTGGATGTGTTGGATTGAAAGCATTAGGCCACTTGCTATAATGTCTCATCTGTGACAAGGTCGGCTACCAAAACTCATCATTCATTTCCCATCTCAAGTGTCGGCAGGAAAGGCGGTACCTCTTACTGGAACATGTGGGCTCTCCTTGATCATGGAAGAGTTACAGGGAAACGGATCAAGATGTCCTGGGTTGTGGGTGAAGTACCCAAAGATTCTATGAATCCATACCCTCTCTCAATGGACAATATTCTCTTGTAACCCCTAACTCTTCCACACCCATCGACGGGCCAATACGAGGGAAAGAGACTTATTCTGATTTTCCCTCCCCTACAAAAATGAGATGAAGAAAATCTAGGTCTCTTCGTTCATCGTTGGCTATCTTAGATTTTCAAAATCTCTACAAAATACTGAAAAAGGCAGGCCAAAAAAGTTTTAAGAGCAGACTAAATAAATCTTATTTAATAAATGCTTCATGCAAAAAAATACGGGGAGTTTCTCTTGGCGCTCGGGCAAATTAGAACGACCACGTCTACGAGAAACGTTTCCCTGCACTCCGCTGCAAGGCTGATGATGTGTGAGCAAAACAGCCTTGACACACAACATACACTGCATCCATCTCAGCGTCTTCCACAACGTATGGAAACACGTGCACGGACCAAGCACGTTCCCTCTTCTCATGTTGTATCTCGTTCAACTGCACTCTAAGAAGCCCGCCATTTACTCATGTCGGCCCGGTGTCGTGGATTTATTGTATGACACCATTCGATCTCGTTTTGGCCTTTTCATTTAAAACATGGCTGCACTTTCTGTGTTATATACCGGGAAAGTATGGCCATGAGGAGCTCGACATCTTTTTAAGGTTCGAATGGATGTCTATGCTATATCTGAGAGACCATCTTTAACTACGTTTGAGCATTACAATTGAGATGGGCATGAAAGTCTACTGAAGTAAGGGGTTAATTCACAGCATCCCCCACAGGAGATGAAATCCTCTCAGCACCATGGTTTCTCAGCCTCAGCACAACTGGTATTTGGGGCCAGATAAATCTTTGCTGTGGGAGGGCTGTCCAAAAGCCCTGTAGAATATTCAGCATCATCTCAGTGCCAATGCGCCACTCCCATCCAGGGCTAAGCACCGGAAATGTCTCCAGACCCTGCCAGGTGGCCCCTAGGGGGGCAAAATCGCCAACCCCCCCATCCTCACCTACCCCCCACATCCAGTTAAGAACCACTGAGCCATAACAAATATAAGTGATAAACGATGAAAGAAAACCGGCTCCCCGAAGTACTGGCGAATGCAAATTACATTTTGTACAGAACTTTCATTTTCAGAATTTCATATTAAAAAAGCCCGGCCACAGGATTATACAACTTAGCGTCTCGCCATATTCTTTGGGGAATGTGGAGGAGAAGGAGGCCTTTGAAAACACTTCACAAAAGTAAACACAGACCTGGGACACCGGCTTTGCCAAAAGTAAGTTTTGGTGCAAGATGAATCGGAACATACCAACGGAGATGGCTGCTTTCCACTGCTTCCAACGAAAGGAGTGGGAGAAGCTGGCCTTCTGTAAATGGAATCAAAATTAAAGTTTCTCTTAAAATACCTTACAGGATACAAAGTATAATTAATTACGTAGCTCACATACACAATAGTTTCCAGATGTATCCGTTTATCTCAAGCAGTAACTCTAGCGCAGTGAAAAACAGGGCTTGTTTGGATCAGAAAACAAAAGCACAATTCAACTTGTTATTATTCCGCCGCGAGTAAAAGAGAGGCCGTATTCTACAAAGCAAAGATGTCAGAGCAATTCATCAGCTGAAGGGCAGTGCCTGTTGTACGAGCAGACCAAGCAACACATCAAATTGCAGGGAAAGGGCAAGCATGTGAGCGACGGGGGTGCGGGGGGAGCACTGTTGAACGAGCAAACACCATTGTGCTCAGAAAACAAGACAAACTCAGAAAATTGTCAAAATGTCATTTTGGTCTTTATTTTTGGACACGTAGCATGTTTTCGTAAATCGGTGTTATGTGCTCGTCTTTGTAATATCAAAAGAAATACAATATATTTTTCATAAATTCCTCATCACTGCAAGTTCACTTTCAAATAAATGTAAGTAGCAGGGTAGAACAAGATGTTTCCCCATATTGACCAGTGCAACACTGACAGTTACAATTAAGGTATCCAGGAAGCCTGAAAATTAAGATTTACGAGAACAAGCAAATTTACTTCCATTTGTCAAAAACAAAGGAAATAATTTTGGTTTGCAAATTACTTTACTTTACATGCAAGAAGTTTAAATCCCATTTCCATCCGAAATAAATGGCAATCTTGAAAATATGCTAAGAAACAAAAATCTAAGAACAAACGGCAGTATGCCCTTCAAAATTGCTGAACAGAATACAGAGGAACAAAGGTGACACTTGCGTGCTCTGCCGTGAATACTGGCACGGTTTCATATGTATATAGATCCGTTTCTATGCCTAAAAATCCCACTGAGATTTAATGGTCTGGGTCAGTCCGTTTTTCTCGAACAAAAGAACCCTCAACTTCCAGGTTTTAAAAACTGCACTCTCAACTTTGTGTTTCAGCACAGAACACATATCTAGTTCTCACGTATCAGTGGCAACCGGTTAAGAGGCGTGTTAAGATACTTTTTAAAAAAGAAGTTTTGTGAGTGTCGTCATTAAAGAAAACAAGCGTCGTGAAGGATCACAATACCGCCAGGATCTAGGTCGTGCACCGTCGAGAGCCTCGTTCTTTTGACTTCACAGTCCTTTATCACAAAAACTTATTCTAAAGAGTTCAAGGAGTTCGTAAGACACACCATGTGGATAATTTGGGGTTTAAAAACCCATGGCTCTGGGCAACAACGATTACAGTTAACAACACACATCCACAAAGAGACCGTGTTCCTAAAATTTTCAGACTCCATCTGCTCTAAGTAACACATTCTGGGGTAAAGACTGTTGCGTACTGACAATACTCCTCAGACATCAGCGAGGCCACAAGTGAAGGGGAGTGACTTCTATCAGAGGTACAGGGTAGCAGCTGATTTGGAGACGGCACACCTCGTACATTCTGCTCGGAAGACGTGAAGGCATTTACAGAGGACTAGATTACGTACGGAAGGACAGGGAGGGTTTCTCTGCACTATCATCAACAGTGATATCGGTCCCTAGTATTTCAAAAGCAAAAAGTATTTTCATCAACACAAATTAAGACGAAGGCTCTACCTAGGAGAACGCACGTGACCAGAGCAACGGGGTAATCTGAGTAGGCCCACGATCTTCTCCCGGCATTAAAAAGCAGGAGCATTTTTGGCATGTTCAGGATTTTACCATCTTGTCAACTGTGACGACCAAGAGGTGAGCCATCAGAGTGGTCACCAAAGAGCGACCGTGGCCCTGGTCCTTAACAGCAGGAAGTGTCCAGTCCAGTGCTCTGCACAGAGTGGGTGCTTAAAGCATGCCACTAACTGATGGACCATCTTCCTCAAGAAACCTGCTGACGACAGGGAACACTTACTGAGCGAACCAAATCAACGGCTGCGAACAGGACTTAGATGGCTACGACGTGTGTGGAAAAGACTCAAAGTAGTTCATATCGTTGTTGTACTTCCCTAAAGAAAACTTGTAAACATCTGGTGAATGTCTAACTAATGGTAGAACATTTAAAATTGGCCAAAAAATGCCCAGAAAACATTTGGCCCTTCAGCACCCAAAGCTCCCAAAGTATAATGTTAAAACGTCTCTGTTAAAGGGATTTCAGTAGTCTGAAAAACGTCATACCTGAGTGGTTTAAATGTTCTCTCCTAAAGGTTAAATAAGTGCAAGGAGTTTCTACACTCAGGAGTTGCATAAGTTTTTATCTTGCCACAAAATAAAACATTGAATGATATAGAGGTAGCATAACTTACTAAATTAACTTTAAAAAAAAGAAGAAGAAAAGCCAGGTTATTCTCAATAGTCTTAAGAGAACTATCACAAAGGTGTAAAATCTTAGGATCCAGGCTTTCTTCTACCTGGTTTTAGACATCTCCTTATTCTCGCCCTCTTTTTTACTGTGAGGATAGTGACGAGTCCAGGCCCCGTCTGGCCCTGTGGCGTCTATCGCGACATCGATGATGGAATCTGGAGTCATCCATCGCAGGAAAACGAGGAAGAGAAAGTTGAATACAGCCAACAAAGCGAAGATGTAGCCCGTCACTGGGCCGCAGTGAGAGAGGAGTCTGTCCAGGCGCCTGTCCATCGGTAACACGGCTTCTCCTGCCACGCGGTCGTACACCTGGGGGGAGAGAGGCCGACAGTGAGCGCCCTGACCCACAACAAACAACGCCCCGCGCGGACCAGGAGTGTGGCACGGACGCAAAGGGAAGTCGCTTACGTTTCATCGTCGTCGTTGCTGTGTCAGTAACGATGTGGTTAACACGGTTACAGCCATCACTGCCATTGGATTCAACACTTACGGAGGGCTGACTCTGGGCCAAGCACGGGGCTGGCCACCACGTCACACCAGGACGAGGATGCCAGGGCTCCTGTCCGCTAGGGGGTCACCATCACTCTTCACCAACTACGAGAACCCAAAGTCCGGAGAAGCCGGAACCGCCTTTCGGGTCACGTCTGCCAAGGCCGCATTTAATTCGGCAGCGACTTCCTGAGGCAGGACTGGCCTTCTAAGATTCCTGGGCGCGGCTGAGACGCTCTGACCGCTCGCTGGCGGACGCCAACCACCGCCAGAGAGCCCGAACCTAGCGCGCTTCTGGGTACAGAGGCTCTTCTTCCCACAGCCACGCGAGGCCATGGTGCCGAGCGCAGATGGGGACGATATACACAAACGCTTCGTGGACTCCAAATAGAAGGGAGGGGGGAAGATGGGGGAAATTTCGGTAGGTGGCACAGCCCACACACTGGCAGCACCGAGCGGGCGGTGGAGGACTGGTAGTAGGCAGCGTGCTTTGTACAACACCGCCAGGCACAGGCCTCGGAAATATTTCAGAAAAACCCCACAAAGACCTGTAAACGTATTTATTTCGAACACAAACGAGGCCAGCATTGAACCGTTTCAATCGCCTCCGAGCATTCCTCGTGCTCCTCCTCACACAGCACACCCGTGGGCCGTCTCCTTCCGAACTCAAGAGAGTTGGGACGTGGGGGCGCCTGGGGGGCTCAGTCGGTTAAGCGTCCGACTTCGGCTCAGGTCAGGATCTCACGGTTCGTGGGTTCGAGCCCTGCAGCGGGCTCGGTGCTGACAGCCAGCTCAGAGCCTGGAGCCTGTTTCAGAGTCTGTGACTCCCTCTCTCTCTGACCCTCCCCTGCTCATGCTGCCTCTCTCTCTCAGAAATAAATAAAACTGGAAAAAAAAAAAAAAAGAGAGAGAGAGTTGGGATGCGCAGCCCAAGTCCTACAGGGCAGCGACTTCTGGAAGGTGCAGGCCGTTTTCAGCTAGCTCTTCTACCCTCAAAACACCTGGGATACATTTCAATCAGAATTACACGGGGACTGCTAAATCAGGAGAGTCCAGAAAGTATGTTTCCAGCGTGAACTCCAATTCAATTTCTTCATCAAGTTTCTAAATAGCACCGTTAAACTACAGACGAGGAGCTGAACACGATCAAAATGGCCTGTGCGGACCAGGCAGAATGAAAAACGCAACTCCAAATTCTCTATTGCTGCTTTTTGTGATCCTGTTTCTAACATCTGTCACGTGCATTTCGAGTCCTAACTCGTCACGTTCTCAATCAGCCCAAAGACGCAAAAATCCTCTACCCATCGAGAATCCTAGTACTTAGCAAAGGCGACGCATGAGTTTTGGGAAGTAGCCTGAATTAAATGTCTGCTCCAATTGGACTTAGCAAAGCCCTGTATTGTCTAATAGACCTATAAGCTTTAGAATTAGAAGCAGCCTTCAGGAAATGTCTAAGAGTAGAGTTTAGTATCAGTTTTACCTTTAACTGTTGTGACTTCCTAGAAAAGTCTGTAACTTCCTCATGCCCAATTTAATGAAAGGATTAGATGGCATTACTGCTATTTTCAGACGTCAAATGCAATGACTTGACTAGAAACTCAGCCTAGCACATGCCAAACGTGGTACATAGTTCATCTCTTTTCACTGGAAAAGAGATTTCATAAACGTAAGCAACAGAAAAGATAAACCTATAGAAGAAAGAGCAAATGTGCACACGAAACCCCAAGAATTCAGACCCAATCGTTCAAACATCCTTGGCTTAGCACAAGACATACTTTTTCAGTTCTTTCCGCAACATTCCTCCAGGTGTAGAAAGTCTTCACGATGCTGTGAATATTTTCGGGAGCCGGCAACGCTCCTGACTTCAGTTGGGAAATCGCTTTTTCCAAACCCTCGCACAAGGACTTTACAGAAGGCTCACATAAAATGATCAGATTTTCTGGAAGTACTTCAGGAATCCCGCCAACCCTGGTACTGACCACCTTAAAGAGAGACAGGACACACCGTAATTCGTACCTCAGGAAAATAAGCAAAACCGACTTAAAAAGTCATTACAGAATGTGTCTGATTATTTTTCAGAATGCAAGTACAGAGACCCCGACAGTGCGAGCCCTCCAAGCTTTTTACCTGTAAACCACAACTGGCTGCTTCCACAATTGCCATGCAGAACGCTTCGGTAAGGGAAGTATTAAGAAAAATATGTCCTTGAACTAAGACATTTCTAACATCCTTGTGTTCTAAGGCTCCCAAGAGACGCACTCTGATTTTTGAAACGAGAGAAGAGAGAGGGGAGTGAACATCTTGCTAGAAAAGAAATATCATTTAGATGCCAAGTGTGCTATTCGTATTATACTTAGATTATTGCTGGTTCTGAGGTCTTCCACCTCAAAGGGTTAGTATCTCCAGACTCTTATCTAAGAGTCTTTTAAAGCTGTTTGGTTAAAAGCTCATACAGCTAACGTCTTTCGAACTTCTGTCACGCCTACACGTTTCACCTTCTCCAAAACCGGCTGGCATTTAATAAAGGTATTAATATGCTTTGATGAGTAAATATTAAAGTCACTTCTAAAGAGGAAAGTGCCCCCTTTATACCGATGTTTCACCGCCAACATCTTTCTAAGTTACTGAGAAAGGGAAGTACTTGAATCTGTATGTGCGGGGCAATTTACACGACTTGGGCCATGCTATACTGCTCAGCAGGCCTTGAAAACCGGCAAACATTTCCAAAGTGGTTGGCGTGTGCCTGTGCATATGCGTGCACGCACACACCTTCCCGGGCACCTCCAACCGCTGCCCCTCAAGTCAAATCATATTGGGCTAACAACAACAGAAATAAAATTGTGAATTTTTAAACTAAGGTTTCCCGCAGTACACACATTTTTTTAAAAAATGGACCTCGCATCACAGTTGTACATCAGGCACGTGTAAGAGAAGCGGCCCACTTAACACGTATCACCCAAACTGAATTTAGGTAACTGGTATTTTCTCACCCAAGACAGTATGGAATCCATCAATACCTGTCATGTAGCTGGTACCTTTCCCGTACTTCTTCCAAAATGATTCTCTTAGGTCCCTCTCCTCCAATTATGAAATTTAAGTCTGGGTATTTCTGACAGAGTTCGGGTATTATACCACTAAGCAAATCGGTCCCTAAAAATATAAAATAAAGGTGAATGTTGGAAATACTAATATTTAAACTTAAAAAAATTCATCAGAACTGAGAATCCACTCACTTTGCAAAGTATTAGCTATGCCCTCCGTAAGAATAGAAACGAACTCTCAAACCTTTCCCGGGGAAGGTGGAATCCTTGGAATCGTCCAAATTCCTAAAAGTTGCAATTCTTAAAGACATATCCATTGACATCCACTGTTACCCAATACACGGACTATTCAGTTTCATCTTAACGGAACATTCTTTAAGTTATTCACTTGTGTTTATGCATCACCTACTCATAAAAAAGGTACGTGAGGTAGCGGACATTGGAGTTCGTTCTCCCCCGAGCTGGACAGCCGACTGGAGATCTATCTAGGTCCTGTCCCAGCCGTTTTATGAGCAGGCTCTTTGAGCAAAGGAAAGTTTCCCGATACAGAAAACGAAGAGACCAGGTGTACCTGAAGTCCAAGATCTCTTTGAGCTACACACTTTTCTCCCAGTCTGCGTTCCACTTCTCGCCCTGGGAGAGGGCCACGCGACAAGGCAGGGCTGAACTGCGGCCTCCGCTTTGTCGAGCATGCGGTTTGTGCAGAGGATTTTACGGTGAACACCTTGGTGTTCGGCAAAGTGAAAAGAGAAGTCCATCCAAACCTGCTACGGCCGCTTCCCTTGAATGACAGTGAACGAAGGTAGCAGGACCGGAACTGCCAGGTCATTACAGTCCACAGAACCAAAGGGCGCATCTTGGTTCCTTTCTGTTCTTTAATGAAACACTCTACTTATAAGAATACGGAAATACAACCTCGGGCAAGATAAAGCAACAAAACACACCATGCCCCTTTTAGTCTCGAAGCGGCCACCCAAAGTGACAGCAATGTTGACACTATTTGGGAATTTAGTTCATTGACAATTATAAATTGGACACATTCAGAAGTGAAACTAAATGTAAAATAACCCAGTTAAAGTTTATTAATTTAAGAAATGCATACATACACACACACATCCATAAGAACTGCACTTCTCAGTCCTTCCCAGATACAGGCAGATCGATGATTAAAAAAAAAAAAAAAAAAGGTGGGAGAAATGATATATACGGGGTTGTTTTTATTAAACAATTCAAAGCAGGATTTAAGTAAACTCCGCTAGTGCTTTCAAAATATGATTGCATTAGCGAACATCAAGTCACTATGGCTTTTCTAAACTACGAAGACTTCTCGTTAAAATCTTTGCTTCCAGACAATTACCAGATCCATCCATTGGATTTCCACATAAACCAGAAGATGGCTTAATGACCTCTAACATTTAGTTTCCTAGAGTTCTTCCATTTTCTTTCCTTTCCTTCTCCCTTCTAATACAAAGGTTAAGAACCCAGTCTTCCAATGAAAACTGCATACATATAAAGCACTCATTATAACTGAGAACAACATTTACTGAGCGGTTACCACAGCAGGCAATGCCCTTGAAGTGCGCGGGGTCATGGAATCCCGACAACTCCCTTACAAGAAATGGAACTGATTAATACGATCAATGAGCTCTAACATTATTCTAAGGATGAAAGGGTTTTCCCAAACAGTAAAAAATATTCCCCTGCCTCTGAGAAGAGTCTAACACAATGGAACGTACAAAAGGACTTCCAGTCGCCATAGTCACACAAAACGGACAAAGAAAAATCACGATCCCAGTGGCTTCTAAAGCTCAGTCTAATGTATTTTAATGCATCTTCTGAATCTATACCTAGAGTCTGGGCCAGAGGTGAGGGGAACAAGAGACCTTAATTCCAGGGCTGGACTGACGTGTGTCATCTCTGATACTTACTGTGTAACCTGAGCGAGTTACTTACCCTCTCTGAGACTCAGTTTCTTTGTCTGTTAAATGCAGATAACATCTACCCTAGAGTTGTTGGGAGGGTCAAGTGAGGTACTGTACCATGCACAGGCTCTATCAACTGCAGAATATAAATGGAAGTTGTCATTACCACCGCAGCGAGAAGGGGGCAGGACTGCGAGACCCTGACTGAGCAAAACAGGCCCTAGACAAAGGGAAGAAGGCAGCCAGGGAACCTCAGGGCTAAGAGCCAGGATTTATCCTCTCTCGCTCAATACACCGCAGTGGGCCCTTGAGAACTGGTCCAAAGGAACACCTCCTAAGGAAATTAATTCGTTAATCATCAACGGACCATAAATACAACTACTCACTTTCAGGCTAGAGATGTGGCCGTTCCTTCTGAGAAGGCTACTTTCTGCACGGAGCCAGGCATATGGAGAGGGTTCGCTAAGTATTTGTTAAGTAACTGAACTGAGAACAGGACACACCGTACCTTTAACTCTGCTGCTGGTGGTTAGCTGGGCTGGCTCGAATACCATCGTTAGTGAAATAAAGGTAACAGGTTTAGTTTGCACAAACATTTCATTTTGCTCTGATCCTCGACCATGCCTGCGCCATACTCCTTCTCAGCCAGCTAGCTCACAGAGGTACGCGACGTGGTTAAAAGACAAACTAGGCGCATTTTTCTAAGCTGCAACACATCCCCAAAGTCCCCCGAGGGATTCTGAAGAGAGAAGGCTGGTCCACTGACATCTTCTGGATTCAAGAACGTAAGCACGTGGACAGCGCACGCTTTCAGCCCAGACACCGCAGCTTGACAGTTTCCTCACCAACCTCCACTTAAGTGGATTGCTGGACCAACTGAGGCTCGAGCAAGGCCCGTGTCTGCCTTGTAGGCCACTCCCGAGCCCACTGCTATGCTCCTGACGCCACCGCCGAGCTGCATGCTTACCAAGAATCAGCTGCATTTGCCCACGTAACTTTGATGCCGGTTAAGCTTGATAATGCGGGTACTTGGGGAACATTGGGTAATTTACTTAAATGGCACATCAACTGACAAAACGGTTTGAAAGATTCAAAAAAGGAAAGTGACACCAGAAAGCTCTTGTCCAATTAGGGGCTATCCTAAACCATCATGTCAAATCAAGAACAAGTTAAAAACTGTGAAATACATTACTTCGTACACCTTTACGTTCTCACCCCACTTCAAGGAAGCCCAAATTGGCAATTATAAATAATGATGCTTCTGGAAGGTGACCGTGCAAGAAAAGATGGTGCAGCTCAGACCAGCGGACCAGTACCCTTACGCCTGCAGCTCCACATCCAGCTACTTATTGGCAACTCAGGGCATGTTACTAACATTCTGAAGAAATCCAAGTATCTAAGGAAGGGTATAGATGATGTCTTTTTCAGTAACTCCCTACTTTAAATGATGATTTTGATTACTGGACAGGTTTTTCAAATACCATCCAGAAGACCACTTAGGTTCTGAATAACCAGACTATTTCAGGCTTTTAGTAAACGAGGCTCTACAAATGCTACTGCGGTGTCCATTAAGTGCTGCAGAAGCACCAAAGAAAAAAATCCTCCTTGATAATGGCAGACACTTATCAAAAACAAACTGGCCTAAGTACTTTATAGGAACCATCACTGAACCCTCACAAGATTCCCAGTGTTGCCCAAATCGTCCAAATGAAAAAACTGAGCCTCAGAGATATTAAGTAGCTTGTCCTCCATCACACAAGGGGCCGCAGGGAGGATCAGACTCCAGGCTGTCTAATCCCCTCCCTTCACCACTTACCTGCCCACAGGTTACGAGAGCCTTCTCTACGATTAAATGAAAAAGGCTTTAAAACAGCAACGTGCACAACAAGCCCACTGATTCTGAGGCTAAGCGTGACAGACAGGAAAGCAAGAAATTGAAAGATTCATAAGGGTCAGCCCTGAATAGTAGTTACAGCTGATTTTAGTTTTCACCTCTGTGCTTTTCTCAGTTTGCAAAAGAGCTGCAATGAAAAGACATTACTTTCGCAATCAGAAAGAAAGGGCTACGTGTGCTCCGCCTTTTTACCTCTTACCACACAGGCAGGGCTGTTTAACCTTAAGAAGACCTGACCTGTTAAACAACATCGGGTTACTGTTTTTACGTAACTATTAAACGTTCAAGGTGGGGGGTGGCATTCCCCAACATTCCAAATAATGGGGGGGGGGTGTATAAAACAGTATTAGACGTTCCTTTGCCATATTTAATGCAGAAGTGGTTATGCACCCTTAAAACAGAAGAAAAAGCCACACAATCATTACATACAAGTATTCCACAGCTTTCTACAAGAAACACAAGTCTGTGCAGTGCAATTGTAGCTAGCATTTCATTACCTTTTCTGTAAACAAGTCTGCTGACAACAACAATAGTTATTACACTATCATGCCTTCTAAATGGGTCTGGAGTGAAGTCAGTAGGGTCTACAGCATTGGGAATGACGGACACTATTTCAGGATTCAGTGCGGCTCTTAGCACAGTGTTTTCCTTACTAGTATAAGAGACACAAATTATGTGGTTTGTGTCACAAAGAGACACGGTTAGAAGCTTGTTTGTAAGCACCGAGCTGACATCAGCAAATCCGAAAAGGGAGTGGTCCGTGAAGACTGTCTGGAGCCCCATGGTCTTGGCGTGGAAGAGGGCATCATGGGCCATGGCAGAAAAAGAACTATGTGAATGTATTATCGTGACTCTCTCCCGAACAAATATGTACCTGAGCAATGGCAGACTGTGAAAGAGGGTCGTGGCTGTAGATTGGTTGTACATGACTTTCAGAGGCAAATAATAGACTTTGAGGCCATTAGTGAGGTAACGGATGCCTTTTCGATTTCCATAAGCGTGGGTGACAATTATGACTTTGTGCCCTCTTTCAATCAGGCACTGAGAGAGCTGGTAAATGTGGCTTTCCACGCCTCCCATATTAGGATAGAAAAAGTCCGACACCATGCATATATTATGGGTACGGGTCCTACGTGTTGACAGATTTCCAGGGCTACCGTGGGAGAGCACAGCTGAGGGAGACTGGCCATGCCCACCTCTTCCTCTATAGGCCATGCTGAGGTTGTTTAGGCATTAGTCCTTAGAGCAACCCAGTTAAGATATGTGTCGTCTAGTACCTGAAAGAGAGTAAAACAAGATCTCAGCTCAGAGACAAAACAGATTACAGTTTCCAAATCTAGATATAAACACTGTTTGATGCTAATGTAAATTTGCCAGCTTTCCCCCTAGAAACAAAAGCATACAATGAAATTACTCATCTGATATTGACTTGCTTAGCATTTACTATGTACCATACAACAAAATGAGATTCTGCAATGTCCTTATGTTTTCACTTTGCTTTAAAAAAAACTCCCACACGGGGGCACCTGGGTGGCGCAGTCAAACCTCCTACACTTAATTAAAAAAAAATAAGTTTAGGGGCACCTGGGTGGCGCAGTCAGTTACGCACCCAAGTCTAGATTTCGGCTCAGATCATCATCTCACAGCTGGTGGGGTCGAGCCCCGTGTCAGGCTCTGTGCTGACAGTGTGGAGCCTGCCTGAGATTCTCTCCCTCCTCTCTCTGGCTCCCTTGCCCTCCCTTGTGTTCTCACTCTTAAATAAAGTTTGTTACATCTTTGTACATAAGGATGCGCTATGCTAACAAACCAGTGCATTCCAATAAATAAATATATGGCTCTTTACAGTTTGCCAACCCTGCTCTAGAGCTTAGCCACTGATTCAACGAATCTCATACAATTCTGCTATTCACTTTGTGGTTTATACTAAAATATACCTGGAGCTAGAACTGTCTTTTTGACAGTGGCTTTTTCAATATCTGCCTACAGGACCTGTTACAGACATCTACCTACATTTTCCCCTTCCATTTTCAAGGATGGTGATGAAGGGCTCCTTTCGTCTTCTTAAACTTTCTTACAGTTACGTAAGCCTTTCTTCCATGAGTGTCCCTCTCTTTGGTTTGAAGTCTCAAGATAAAGGATCAGTTAGAGGTGGGCTGGATCTGGGGCCATTTTCTAAACCTAAGGCAGGAAATATTGACTTCAGGGGTCCCCTAGTTCCTCCTCAGCACAAAACGCCCACTCAATATTCACCATTACAGAGTCTTACTTTTAAAGCTAAAGAGTATTTTGGAAAGCTAGTGAAAATCGTCTTCAGGTTTACAATGGAGATTTCCACACCTCCAGAAACTCAACCGTACAAGGGAAACCCACTCTAAAGGTCTGATTTTCTGATTTCACCTGCAAACTCAGGAAATGCAAATCAACTGCCTGTGCAAAGTCTTAATTATTCTTGCCAACAAACTCGTCTATACTTTAAATATATTCTCAGAAATACTCAGTGTTTGCTGATCTGAATTTACTAGACAAGATTCAAGATTACCAAATATTGGGAGTCTTCAGTTTTGTACTTTACAGTGGTTTCAGTAACATTTTTTCTTTTTTAATTTTTAATGTTTATTTTTGAGAGAGAGAGAGAGAGAGAGAGAGAGAAGCAGAGAGTGAGGGAGACACAGAATCCTAAACAGGCTCCAGGCTTCCAGCTGTCAGCAGAGCCCGACACGGGGCTCAAACCCCCAAACTGCAAGATCATGACCTGAGTCTAAGTCAATGCTTAACCGACTGAACCACCCAGGTGCCCCTCACTAACATTTTCTTATTGTCCTTTACCACCTAAACCTGAATTTCCAGTTGTATTTAATTTAAAAAGATGAGAGACTTAAAAACGAAAAAATGAGTGAAGAACCCAACGAAATATTCTTAAAGTTTTCTCATAAACCTGCTAATGTTCTGTGAGGAATCTGCCTACTTCCATCAGGTTATCACACCTAACATCTTTCTGGCATAAGAGCTCACCAAACGGCACAGATTCTCAGATTTTAACGCCGAAGAGAGAGGCTTGGAGATCTAGGGAAAAAACCTCCCTTACTTTACAAACGAGAAGCCAAACAAGTTGAGCGATTTGCCCAAGGTCTCCACCCAGCCACTTAAGTGGCAAATACGAAATAGCCATAAAATTTGCAACCATCCAAGGCCAATGAGTTTCTGGACAGACTGCGGCAGCGGCTGCCAAGGAGCCTTAGGGACACCCCGCGGGGGCTTGGGTCCGGAGGGCCGGACTTCCACAGCCACCCCCTGGCCATACCCCGGCTTCACTCACTGAGAGGTCACCGGGGAGCGCCAGGACCGAGGAAGGGACGACCCCGCTCAATGAGCAACCCCGTTGGAGTCAAGGAGCGTCCCGCCAGGCCCAAAGGGAGGAAGACGGCCAGACGGTGCGCAGGAGTTTGAGGCTGGGGGTCCCGGAACCCTTCACCTCGCCCGCCTCAATCTCGGCGGAACCGGCTTCAGCGCGGCCGCCCCAGCGCACCCTCAGCTCCACTCGACTCCGGTGGCTCTCGACCCCGACTTCCGAGCTTCAAAGCCGCGTCGGCTTCGCCCCCTCCACCTCCGGCCACACTCCCACGGGTGCAGCCCCGTCCCATCCGGAAGCGGCCGCGAGCGTCGGCGCAGGGTCAGACGCGCACTTACCGGCGAGTCCCATGGCCGCCAGTGTCCGGACCTCCCGCGGCTGCAGCCAGAGTCCCACCCCGCTTCCCCGAAACACCAATCCGAGGCGTCCGCGCCCGAGCGCCGCGCCCCCGAGGCAGCCAATCACAACGGGGCGCTGGCGTCACGTGCGGAAGCGCCGCTCAGTGCCCACCCCTCAGCGCGCGGTGCAACGTCAGCGCGCGTAAGCACATGTTTTCGCGATGTGCGGAGGCACTTGCTTTCTCTGTATGGCAAGTAGTAGTCCTCGGTTTAATCTTTCATATGCATTCTTAGTGTCGCAGATCGCTAGAAACCGGCCCTGGTCTCTTCTTACACAAGCAGCCTACCCAGAGCCTTCCTCGGGGTAAAGTCGGAAATCCCAGCGTGACTCGCAGCGAGCCTTTAAGGGCTGCTGGGAGTTGTAGTCCGGTGACCTTTGGAAACGAAGCTGAACTTAGAAAACTCACTCCCAGGATGCACCGGACTTCTACGCCCGAATTTGCAAAAGGTCTGGTGGGTTAGCGTCTTGGTTGCCTAGTTACAGCGTCTCTTTTCTGGAAGCGGGTTCTCCGAGGCTTCGGATTGGAGAGACTTTTGGGTGGGAAGGCTACCAGAAGCCAGGGTCATGCTGGCCTTGTGTTTCTGGTTATCTGTGCCACAGCAGAACCGCGTCTGTTCTTAACCACCCTGCTAGGGTTGCCTGATGTAGCAAATAAAATACACAGATAAAGAGTACAATAAGATCAGATTTTATAAAAATTTGAATTTCAGGTGATTTTTGAACAAGTATGTCCCACATAGTGGGGACGTGACTAAAAAATTCCTCGTTGTTTATCTGAGATTCAAACTTAAATGATTGTCTTGTATTTTATCTGGCAGCCTTAGCCTCTGGAAGAAAAAAAATCTGAGGTCTTACCTGCAATATCAACTCCCACCCAAACTAGTTCTGCTGGCTATGATGGCGCTTGTCAGGAGGCTACTGAATGGGTGGAAATGGTCTGATGGCCATCCACCCCTGCCATTTGGTGCCTGGAGTTCCCCCGGCTCTTCCATGCATACGCTTTGGAGAGCAGTTGCCTTCCTGAGTACTATCACTAGCACCCCTTTTAAGCCTCTAGAAAACCTATTCATCCCCTGCATATTTCAGCTCCTTTCTGGTGCCCTCCCCAAGCCTATAGAGGGAATGTATTTACCAGGTGATATTCGAGTTGTTTGCCTGGCTGCCAGCCCCGCTCCTGCTCAACCCAAACCTGGAAGGTGGGTGTTCTTTGGACCTCGCACGGACACTTTCTGAAAACCGCCGACTGCATTTGCTTGTTAAATGTCTGCCTCCTTGGCCAGATAGTAAGCGGAGGCAACGTTTGTTCCTAGTAATAGACACTGAATAAGTCTTAATTGTATTAATGAATTTCTTTATCCTATACCGGTGCAGCCCCAGTAGAAACACATATACCCAATAAAATGTATTGAAAAGATTTTGTGGAGTGTACCATATAAATATTACACTGCGATGATATAATTCAAAGAGCATTTTGGTTGTAGGATTTGAAGGGTTGCTAATGAGTTAACGTTAATGAGCTAACGCTGTTTAACTAAAGTAGGAATAGATATCCTGCACTGGGACGATATGGAAGCATCAGAGAATAAAGACGATGAAGGTTCAAGGATATTTATTCAGGCCTAATAATGTGCAGTTGGTTGCACAGATAGCCCCAACACTACCAGATGGTACAGGATTGCTTTGATCTCCCGTTCATTTCTGGAATAGGTTTAAGACCAAGGGAGTGGACAGAGAAACTGGAAAGTATAAATGAGCGTTAAGCCCATTTACTGAGCCCGTGATTTGCCAGTGCCATAGTTCTAATCACAATCCACATTCCCTCAAAAGAGTTGCGATCTTTTTTCAAAACAGAGTACTTCCTACCATTACCATCAAACATTTACCGAGTGCCTACTCTGTAGAAGGCTTTGTGGGGAATACAAGGAATATTAAATATAATCCCTATGTTCAAAAAGGTTTTTTTTTTATCCTTCCTAGCTTTTATATACTTTTTGCTGATAGTAAAAAGCAATCCACCTTTCTTGAAAGGTTCTTTGTGTTTTAAATACTGTAGAGGAGGCTGACCTTTATAAATAGTTAATAAAGGCGCACTGTTGCTGAGTATCGGTTGGAGGGGAGAGGGCTGAGAAAATTTGCAGGCTGTTCCAGCGAAGTGTATAGGTTCTGGCAGTCTGAAAACATTGAAACTCATTCATCACGCTCCAGTCTCTGACCTACGCACTGAGCATTAAAGGCAAATAAATCATAATTCTGCCCATGGCTCACAATCTCATGTGGGTATGAAACTCCATTTATAGTCAGCGTACATTTAAGGCTCTTTTCTAAAAGTCAAAGGAAAGTTGTAGCATCAGGACTAAGCTATAAATCTGGGAATAATTCTAATTATGGTCTTCTGCCTAAATGTATGGAATCAAGATATGCTTTTAGAGAGATTGTTCTTAGAAACTACTAAACTGAAAGTAGAATGCGCATACATGCAGTGTATTCTGATTACACTTAGTAAAATATGAGGTCAATGAGTACCAGCTGTACTATAAAATGACCTGTAAATGGAGAAGGTATAAAATAAATGTGGGTATCACCTTCCCTTGAAATCCAGCTCTTTGTAAATTCAGTTCCAAGCTTCCTTGGATAATTTTGGAGTGGGAAGGCAACATATTTGTACTGAGAGCCTGGTATCTATGTACAAGACACAGACAGGGAAATTATGGCATCAGCTTTACACCCAAAGAACCAGGACAGAGTTAAGGCATATTTAGTACCTGCAAGAAAAGGTAGGAAGTGATAAGCACTGTAAGAGAAATACAAGAGAAATGCTGGGAGTTCAGAGGGAAAGAGTATTTCTAGCTGTCAGCATTTAGTGTTGAAGTAAAAAGTGCACACGCAACTGTTGGGAGCAAGATCATTTCAGGAACAATATCATCAGGGGCGCCCGGGTGGCTCAGCCGGTTGAGCATCTGACTTCGGCTCAGGGCATGATCTTGCAGTTAGTGAGTTCGAGCCCTGCATCGGGCTCTGTGCTGACAGCTCAGAGTCTGGAGCCTGCTTTGGATTCTGTGTTCCCCTTTCTCTCTGCCCCTCCCCTGCTCGCCCTCTGTCTCTCTCAAAAATAAATAAACATTAAAAAAAATTTAAAGAACAATTGAACAAGGTAGAGAGACAGGTGCTGACTGTCCAGTGAACACTGCTGTGCAATTTTGCAGGGGAAGAGGAGGGGCAGGGTTCAGACAGGAGAAGGTGGCATTTCCAGTAAAGATCGGAGCACCCTGGTAGGGGATCTTACTAAGAAAAATGGAGTTGATGTTGAGCCAGACTTCCGGCCAAAAAAATATTTTCCGTTAACATTTTAAGACTATCCACTCCTCACTGACTCTGCTTCAAACGGAAAAATAAAAGACAAGAGAAAATCAAAATGTTATAGCTCTGATTTTAAAAAGAATGTTTAAAATGTTTAAAAACATTCCCACGTATCAGAAACAGAACCCAAATGCAAAATGGTAATCAGACCATTTTGTTCTGGACTCTGTATGTGGAAGCAGGAAGACATGAACTGGGCTCAGCTCTTGTTGAATGACAAAGACTCCCAGCTCCACACGTGACCACAGACAGGAACCAGGCATGTAGGAGACTTTTTATATTGGTAGCTTTCAATGAGTCACTTTCCAACATTCACACTTACCCCTTTCCACATGGGCTCTGGGCTGGGCCATGTGACTTGCTTGGCCAATGGCTCATCAGTAAATGAGAGGCAACAGAAGCTCAATTAATAAATGCTTATAGGGCCACCTGGGTGGCTCAGTCAGTTAAGCGTGGGCTTTCAGTTTCAGCTCAGGTCATGACCTCACAGTTTCAAGAGTTCGAGCCCCACGTCGGGCTGTGTGTGGACAGTGAGGAGCCCGCTTGGGATTCTCTCGCTCTCCCTCTCTGTCTCTCTGCCCTTCCCCTACTCACACTGGCCCTTTCAAAGTAAATAAATAAACTTAAAAAATAAAAATAAATGCTTATGCTCTGAGGAATGTCCTATTGGAAACTTTCCTCTTGATCGCCAATGGCTATGCTGCGAAGAAGCTCGGGCAAGATACTAAATGATGAAAAAGCCACATGGAGAGAGGCCCTGGAGAATGGAAGTTCATCTTGGCCTTCCAGCGGCAGATGAGTTCCCATTCACTGGTCACAAAATCAATGCATTACTGCTTATTTATTTGTTTGTTTATTTGGCACCTACTAAATGCAAGACATTGTTTTCACACTGAGGATGATGGGTAGATTAGACAAAGTCCAGCTCTTCATTGACCCAACGACCAAATCCATGAAGGTCATAATTTTCACCAAATTACTTTCCTTTTTTTAAAGCCTTAAAATAGGTGTCCCTGGCTGGCTGAGACAGTAGGGCGTGTGACTCTTGATCTCAGCGTCATGAGTTTGAGCTCTATATTGGGGGCAGAGTTCACTTAAAAAAAACTCTTGAAGTGGATGATTTGTGTCATCTCTTTTATCAAGCATCTCAGTATTTCAATGTCATCCAACTCTGACCATTATGCTGTCACATCTGTTTCCAGCTCTAAAGGGGCTCCCACTACTGCTTTCTTTAGTCAGAGCTTTGCGATCTGTGCTGCCATTAATACATTCTCCAGCCCGGTGGCCTGGATAATCAGGGACAGCATGCATCACTGGCATTTCCTGCTTGCTTTAAGCTCTTGGGACTTCTCACATACTTTTATTTTGCAACAAGTTGAGAATTTTCAGCCCACATTCCAAAGCTATCCATATGACAAATGCTTCTGTACAATGAACAGTACATTCCAATAAGGCAATGGGCCAGTTATCCCACCTCTACACTGACGGCCAGCCCCAGCCCAGCTCAGACACAGCCTCAGGGATCCAAGTGCAAATCTCTTGGTAGTTATGGAGCGTTAGAAGTGCACAGGCAGACGACAAACGACAAACGACAAACGGTTTGTCCTAGCCCAGGACAGTCTATATCTCCATTTAAATGGCAGTTGGGAAGCAGGAACCACTAACCAAAACATGGTTTGCGCTGGCTTTAGGGAAGATCTAGGAAACCAGTAGAAGCCAAAAACTTGGCTCACAGCCCTGCTTCTCTTTCAGGAGGATCCCTTTAATTGGAAAATTACTTTGTAGTCTTCAAATGGTTTTCACTTATGGTAATTCAAGTGACATTAGCAACTCTGAGAGCAAGGGGATGAGATTATCACCCACATTTGGCAGGTCAGGAAACTGAGGCTCATACTGCGATTAGGTGGCAGAGCCCGTCCTCGGATTTAGACTCTCTTTTTGCCAAACGTGAGCAAAGTGACTCCTTTGTGTGGTGGCCCCTGGGCTGTCTGCTACTGCTGCTCTCAAGGGAATTTGACCAACTACAGAGGAGGAAAACATGGCAGGAAGTGAATGAAGAACAAAGCTCAGAGTTGAATGCTAATGCACTATGTGCAAGCTCTTTCAGAAGGCTGGGAATCAAAGAGTGAAACCAGAAGGAAGAAGGCTCTTTGGCATCAAGGTCATAGAGTGGGGGTAAGAGGAACAGCGACAGGAGAGGAATGACTGGGCCAATGCCAGTAAATGACAGCAATGATAATGGCAGCACGATGGGGACTGGTCCCAGGCCAGGTCCAAATCAGCGGTGTCCCCAGGGCAGAGACTGAGAGCTAAAGCCAGGAGAGGACCAGGGGCCCAGAGCCCGCAGGCCACAGAGGACTTGGGTGAAGGAGAGGAGAATTCAGAAACTGGTTAGGAACCAAGGGAAGGACAGGGATTTGGGTCAGGATCCAACAATTCTACTACGTGGCATCAGGAAAAACGAAACTGTTTTGCTGTGTTTACCACTATCTTCCTCCTTGTTACTGTATAGCTTCCACATGGTCTGGCCTGAGAAACTCGGATCACACAAATTGGATCAGGACAATTTCTTTCCTTCTTTTTTTTTTTTTTTTTTAAATATTTTTTTATTTATTTCTAGGAGAGAGAGAGAGACAGCGTGAGCAGGGGAGGGTCAGAGAGAGAGGGAGATACAGACTCTGAAACAGGCTCCAGGCTCTGAGCTGGCAGTCAGCACAGAGCCCGACGCGGGGCTCGAACCCACGAACTGCGAGATCATGACCTAAGCGAAAGTCGGACGCTTAACCGACTAAGCCACCCAGGCGCCCCAGATCAGGACAATTTCTAATGGCAAGGCGGTCGCGGTAATGGAGAGATAAGCATGAACACAACTATTCGCAAAAGTCTTCGCTAAGTGTTGCAGTAGATTGTATATCTATCTTTCTATTTCCGTAAGATGTTGGGGGAGGGCATCCAATTTTAAGTTATTTGCTAAATAACTTAATTCTGTTAATTAACTTTGTAATTTGCTAAAAAGGTATTACTCCTAATGGTGCCTTCATTTTACTAACGCCATGTAATCCCCTCCATTTTACCAAACTTTCAGTAAAGTCTACGCCATCAGAAAAGTATTGGAGGGAGTGTTTTAGAGAAGAAGCAGGGTAACAAGGCCTGTGCTCCCTTCCTGGTGGTCGGACAGAGAAGTGAGCTGCGAATGACCAGAGAATGAGTGCACGGAGTTGGAGCTGGTGGTGGCGAGAAGACACAAACCCTCAAAGATGTCCAGGGCTATCAGTGGGCTCCCTTCCATCCTGAGATGCGGGTCAAGTTACTTTACACTGAATCTCCAAGGAAAAATAGATTTCCAGCTGGTCCTTGAGTTACATTTGCTTAACCTCCTTTAGAATCTTAAACGTTCTGAGAGCTACTCCCTGGGCTGCCCCGAACTGACATCAAGTTTTGTGTGTCCGTGTCTCTCCCCATACCTCTCCCTTCTAAATTCCTTTTTCTCTTTAAAACATATTTTTGGGGCGCCTGGGTGATTCAGTTGGTTAAGCGTCTGACTCTTGGTTGTGGCTCAGGTCATGATCTCACGGTTCACAGGTTCGAGTCCCGTGTCAGGCTCTGCACTGACAGCGTGGAGCCTGCTTGGGATTCTCGCTCCCTCTCTCTGCCCCTCTCCCATTCGCACGCACGCTCTCTCTTGCCCTCCCTCTCCCCTTTCTCTCAAAATAAATACATAAATAAACTTCAAAAAATACATTAGGAAAAGAAAAACATGGTTTTTTCCTTTGGCATAAAACTTAGAGTGGCACCATATTAAATAATGCAAATTTCTACGGCTTGAATAATGGTGTTTATTTTCTTTAAATACGCTTAAATATGAAACAACAGACAGTAGTTCAGTAAACTCGAAACTACAAGCTGGACAGTAATCATAAAATCAGTGCTGATCATACAAATCAAAGTCTGCATAATAAAGAGGCAGAATAATTCACAAGAGACTTTGTATTAGTGGAGGACTATAGTGTCTATATTTTATAGTGGAGACTATAAAATTGCCTCATCAGCTTTGAGTAATAAATCATACAGCACCTGTGATTCTATGAGGATCAAACCTTTCTCATTCACTGGGAAAAAAAAAAAAAGTTTACACAGGTTCCCTCCTTTGCATTCCTTGCTGTGCACGGGTATCTTCAGGGGGAAGGCATTCGGTGAACCAGGAGAGCCCCAGCTGGTGTGTAATGGAAGGGTGGTCCGGATTCACTGTGGTACCAGATAAAACAGATGTTTTCCCTAGTACCTGGAAAAAAAGAACAGTGGCAGCAACTTGGCAAAGCAGCATCCCGTTTAAAATGTCAGAGATGGGGAACTTGGGAAAAAGCGGAGTCAGGGGTTTTCTTGATCATGGAGCCCATGGGCGGCCCTCTTCTTTGGAAAGCGGCAATGCTTTGCACATGCTGGTTTTCCATTTGCACATGTTCTGGTGTGAAAGGGACATCTGTCCTCACAGCTGTTGCAAAAGAAAATAAACACGAGAATTCAGAATCAAGGACTAACTCCAAAGGAATAACTCTGTCCTGATTTGATTAAGTTCTCAAAGTAAATTTTCCAGATATGTATTTAAAATGTCAATATAAAATCCTGAATGCTTATTCTACATGGATGCAAACTCTGTGAAAGCCCAAACGGCAGCCTGTAAGCGTCCTTTATCGATGAGTTTCTTGCTATATACATCCAGCGCCATCCCCTTCCTCAAAGAGAAAACAATCACATGTGGACATATATTGAGAGAGACTGAACCCAAGAGTCTGCTGATCTGAAATCCACCCCCCAAATAACTGTTCACTTCTCATTAATTTTTTGCTTACGATCCATAACCCAGCAGTAACAGGCAGGATTTTCTTGATTTCACAATCAATCATCACTCTATATAATACTCTCACCTATTCCTTAGTTGCCAAACCTCTGCTCTACTATCAAAAAAAGGAGGGGGGGGGGGGGCTTGGGCACTAGAAAAACATGCTTTTGGAAGGAATCTCACCCAATTGAAATGGCATGTACAGTAAACGTCAATGAATGAAGTTAAGGCGAACGTGAAATGCTTTCACCTGCAGGTGTCTGGGTGAAATATCTTGTGCTTCTTGCAGCAGCTCTCCAGGCTTTCTCCACACTCAATGCAACTGCAGTTTTCTGGGTGCTGGATAAGCTCTCTGGGACACGGGGTTTTACACACACACTCACAACGATCTTCGTCAAACTTCATGTGCGGCCCACAGAGAGCCATTTCCTGGAGATGAGAGTGCTCTAAGCAGAAACAGAAAAGTGGCGGTTGAATGGCCACAGATAACGCCGTTGGTTATATAACGCTGTCAAAGTTGGTTGTATACTTCCCATTATTCTAAAAAAATTTTTTAATGTTTTATGTATTTTTGAGAGAGAGAGAGAGATAGACAGCACGAGCAGGGGAGGGTCAGAGAAAGAGGGAGACACAGAATCCGAAGACAGGCTCCTGGCTCTGAGCTGTCAGCACAGAGCCCGACGCGGGGCTTGAACCCACAAACTGAGCCAAAGTCGGACGCTCAACCGACTGAGCCACCCAGGTGCCCCTACTTCCCATTATTCTAAAACGCCCTGGATTCTCCCAGTCTCCATCCCTATAGAGGTTTGCCCCTAACCTTTTCACAGGGGGAAGGAGATTCATGTCTGATTTCATAATACAAATGCTGAACTCATGTGTTCTCTTAAGTTTGTGATAAAGATATTAAATTTTTTTATTAATGTTTTTTATTTAATTCTGAGAGAGAGAGAGAGAGAGGGAGGGAGGGAGGGAGAGAGAGCGTAAGCAGGGGAGGGGCAGAGAGAGAGGGAGACAGAGAATCTGAAACAGGCTCCAGGCTCTGAGCTAGCTGTCAGCACAGCGCCCGACACGGGGCTCAAACCCACTAACCGTGAGATCATGACCTGAGCTGAAGTCAGCCACTCACCCGACTGAGCCACCCAGGCGCCCCTGTGATAAAGATGTTATAAGCTAAATATTTTTACTCAGATTTGGGTCTCATCACTTTGTGCACCCAGTTCTGCCACCGTAAGTTTGTTCTATCATTTCCATTATTGCTGCTACCGCCTCAATTCAGTCAGTATTTTTATACTTTTGGGTGTAGATGGCCATCACAGATCTTGTCGTCACACGTTTTATCCCTTCAATCCATTTCCCACGATATTATCAAATGCAAATCTGATCACATCATTCTACAGCTTTAAGTTCTTTAAAAGGTTCCCCCGTCTTACAATAAAAGAGTATTTTCCCACGACGATATATGAGACCCTCCATGAACCTTCCAGACTCTTCTCTCTCCTTCTCCTCCCTCTCATAAATATCCTATAGTCCCCTACGGTCCATCCATACCAGATTAGACTACTTTTTATTCTCCTGATTATGCCAGCATCTCCAAGCCCCATGCTTTCAGCCTTTGCCCTTCTCCCTGTCAGTCATCTTTCCTCCCAAATATCTTTCCCAACTTCTACAAGTTTAGCTAAGCGCCCTTACCCCATGCATATTTCCATCTTGTCCCTTCTTCCATTGCTTACATTTGTCTGTTTCCTTCACGAATTAAAAAATGTTGAAGGTTACAGGAATCGGATCTCATCATTCTGACATGAAATGGGCACTTGATAGATGCTGAGTTCATTTGGAATAATAAAAGGGTCCTATAACGGGCTGAGGAAGACTCTGAAGAATCCCATCCGTCGTTCCAAGACATTGGGTTAAACCATATGTTTTTGTCAATATCTGACTACTGACAATGTATCAAAATGGCAATCTTGTGTTGTCTAATCTTATAGTTTGAATGGCTCTGTGACTGATGATCCTTGATGATATTCCACCCGTGTGGAAAGGCTGTTGGAAGGCTAAATCTGGGGAAATTCCTGAAATTGCACAAAGAGGAAAAAAGCAAGCGTTGCAAGCCATATGCCAATAAGGCATATGCCACTTTGGGGCAAGGTGAGAATATATTATTCCCATTGGATATTCTTTCCTGATTTGTCAAAGATTAACTGACCATATAATTGTGGGGTCATCTGTGGGTTTTCCATTCTCTTCCACTGATCTATGTGTCTATTTCTATGCCAGTACCATACTGTTTTGTTGACTACAGCTTTGTAATATAACTTGAAGCCCAAAACTGTCCATTGATTGATGAATAGATAAAGAAGATGTGGTGTGTCTCTGTGTGTGTGTGTGTGTGTGATGGAATATTATTCAGCCATAAAAAAGAATGAAACCTTGCCATTTGCCACGACAAGGATGGAGTTAGTATAATGCTAAGTGAAATGAGTCAGTCAAGTCAGAGAAAGACAAATACCATATAATTTCACTCATATGTGAATTTAAGAAACAAAAAAATGAGCAACTGGAAAAAAAAGAGGGAGAGAGACAGATCAAGAAATAGACTCTTACCTATAGAGAATAAACTTATCGTTACTGGAGGGGAAGGGGGGGATGGGTTAAATAGGTGATAGGCATGAAGGCATGCACTTGTAATGAGCACCAGGGGATGTATAAAATTGTTGAATCACTACATGGTGCACCTGAAACTTCTATAACAGTGTATGTTAATTATATTGGAGTTAAACTAAAAACAAAAGAAAATGAATAGATTGTTAAAGTAGCCCTTAAAAGACTCACGTCAATCACTAGGTGGCGGTAGAGATTCACTGGGCCCACTTTAGGTAGAACCGATGCCCTTCTTAGGTGGTTTAAGGAAACACAGTCCACTGGGTGTCTGATGCTGAACTTGAGCAAGGTAGTTGGCAGAGGCTGGCCTCAGTCCTTAGGGGCACTCATTAAAAGTAACAGAGACTGGGGCACCTGGCTGGCTCAGGTAGGTAGAGCATACAACTCTTGATCTCAGGGTTATGAGTTCAAGCCCCACTTTGGTGTAGAGAATACTTAAAAAAAAAAAAAAAAAAAAAAAAAGTAACAGAGCCTGCGTGTAGGAGGCCTGAGTGAAGCAGCAACTAGCTTGGGGGATACCCGGGAGTATGCTATACTGATTTCAGTCAGGGAGGGTGCTGGTGAGATGCCACGAGCTGTGCTCTCAGCCTTGCTTCATTCATCCAGCAATAAGCTCACGGGTGTTTTGTTTCCCCAAGTAAATCCTTGAAGTTGTGGCTGTCTTGAGGAATTTAAAATATAGAATCAGGACTCCTCAATTTTTCTCTTTTCTTTCTCGGTATTGTTTGTTTTAACAGGTTAAAGCAATGACCTGAATCCAACGAGATGAAATTCGACTGGTCTTGGATTCACTGACCCAAATGTGCTCATTCAGGGAAGAGCTGTCATTGTAGGAAAGGCAGTGTAAAAACGGTGCTTGGGGAACAGTACGCTCCGTAGGGGTCATCAGTCTGATGGGGCCACCGGAGAAGTGACCGTGCTCCAGCTACCCCAGGCCTCTCCCTTCCATCACTGCTGCAATGTCCCCCGAAGCCCCCTGCCTCCTTTCGTGCCCTGGGCCAACACCTCCTCCTCTACCCTGTCCCTGGTTGACTGTGTTAAAATTCTACTCGGTGCCGTCACTCTGCTGCTTGAACCAGCGGACTGGCTTCCCTTGGCCCTTAGCATTACATCCAATGTCTGGGACCAGGTGCCCAAGGTCCCCTGTGAACGCCTCCAGCTCCCTCTCTCTCATGCACCCAGCCCCCTCCCATTACGTTCCCACCCACCGTGCCAAACTTTCTCCAGCACCCTGATGTGCTGCCTCCTCTCACTTCCAGTCCTGAGCACTCAGGTGTCCCCTGCGCAGAGCACCTCTCTCCTTCCCCCGACTCTTCGCACCCTCCGCGCGCACGTGCACCAGCTGAGGTACCCCCGGGATATCCCAGTAATAAACTGTACATGGACTGCATGTTAAAATGATTAAATGAAATATACAAAAATTAATCGTACTTGTTTCTTTTGACCTTCTTAATGTGAGTACTACAAAATGTGAAGTTACATAGGACTCTCGGTGAAATTCCACCGAACAGTCCTGTTCTGGAGAGAGAGGTTTAAGCTTCGGTATGACTTACTAACAACACGGGTGAGCCCAGGGTCACTGGGCTGCCTCTGTGTGTGCCAGGTTTCCCCATGACTGCATCAGCTTTCATGAAAACTTTTAAAAGGAAGCCAAGAGACGGAAGTCTAGAAAGTAGGATGTTATTTACGGTTTCTAGGATAGTATTCCATAGAGCTTAGTTCTTACAATGTCTTGCGTGTAGATCAGAGTTTGCAAGAAGCAAGGTTCAAAGTGCATGACTCCTTGTGATCTTTTTCAGTGGAATTGTGTCATGGTCTCTGGGAAATAAATGTTAACGGTGCATTCATTTTCAGCCAAATGATCATCACCAAAAGTCACAGCTTTCTGAGTTCTGAGCAGTGACGACAATATTCAGTTCCCCACTCCTGAGAGCAACAGCTAACCACGGTTCGCTTTTACTTTGCCAGAAAAAGTTTTCTCCTACGTCCCGTTTTTTCTCAAATAATGTCACAGGCCACAGTTGGAAGAAACCAACAAGTCTAAACATACTTTCTGTTACCGTGAGCCTTTTATACAAATAGATCCGTAAAATGCGGCAGACTAGTGTTCAGCTCTGAAGTGGTTTGCATAAAAGGCTACCACTACCTTTCAAATCCAATGTTGTCGGATGCTCTAATCACTGGGCTTTTCTTTAAGATTAAAAAACAGAGTCATGCTTGTTTTGAGGACTGAATGAGTTGATAATACATATAAAAAAGGCTTATAACATTGCCTAGCCATAGTGAGCACTCAACAGATGACAGTTACAGGTGTTATTTTTATGATTGCTACTATTTCCTTACTGCTATCATTACCTTCCATTCCAACGAGTGGATTCTCCTCCCGTAAAACACATTTACATTTGTTGCTGTCCCATAGCATGTCAATAGGACAGAGTTTCTTGGAATGGGAACAGCTAGGAGAAGAGAACAAAAAAGCAGACTTAAAAGCATTCAAGGGCAATCATACCTTTGGAACATTTTCTTTAACGCTGAATAGATTTCTGAGTGGAGGATCATTACGATTCTTAAGGAGCTTAATTCATATTTATGAACTGCATGGTATTAGATAGTAATTCTGTAATCACAAATGTTCTATTTGGGAACGAAACTGTAATTGTGGACAGTTATCATCTTTTAAAGAAGATTGCTGTTAAAACTGTGCAAATTGGCTGTCAACAGGGCTTATTTACTGGAAGTAAACATTGTCCGAAAAGCATTAAGCGCTGCCGCCTTTAAAATGGAGAGAAGAACACTGGCTGGAACAGCAGGAACAGGCTCAGGATAAACGTTTTTTTTTTTTTTTTTTTTTTTACAATTTTCTTTTTTTTCTTTATTTTTTTAAAATAGTTTATTGTCAAGTTGGTTTCCATAGAACACCCAGTGCTCATCCCCACAAGTGCCCTCCTCCGTGCCCATCACCCCCCTTCCCCTCCCCCCCAACCCATCAGCCCTCAGTTTGTTCTCAGCATTCAACATTCATGAGAGACTCTTGAATGTTAAAACGTTCCTTTTATAGAGGCCTCCTCTTCCGCTCCCCCCCCCCCCCAGAGGTCCAGGTGTCCTCTCAGCTCCGTAATGACTAACATCAGCACCGGCTCACGCCACCTGCCACTCACTGGATACACTGCTTACTTTTGCAAGATCTAAGTCTCTCACTCAGTTACTTTATGTTTTCATTCATTCAGCATTTGTACTCCGCCCTGTGTTTCTCTATATGAAATTATTTTTTCCCAAATCAAAGATTCTCACCTTTGATTTCAGGACACTGCAGGGTATCATAATTTGTCTCATAAAGAACCACAGAATGCGCTGAAGAAAATTCCAAGTCAAATTAATGTTAAGCCATTTTAATTCAAAAATAAGATGTTTCCATTTGGTTTTCTTAACAGGAAGGTCAGAAAAATCACCAAACTCAGATGTGGATACTTTTGCTGCTCCCCTGGGACTTGGGGACCCTTTTCACTCCCCAGTTTGGGGACTTGAAAGTATAAAGAGCCAGAAACGAGTTTCACGTCATGCCTGTTCTGGACTAAGGGAATGTGTGCCAAATCTGAGGCTAGTGTAGAGTTTTACAGCCGTACCAGGCTCTGCACATTAAGAACAAAGGTGGCTATAAGTAGACATGGGGAGTTCGTGACCACTGAGTCACTGGTCTTTCCCCAACATACATCTAACACCCAATAAACAACATATTTGCCAGTTATTACCAGTGAGAAGCTTGAAGATGAAGAACTTGCAAGTGATGACTGTAAAATTAATGAAATATTCTCCACACACGGCTTTAGCAAAGGCAAGAACAAGTATAAACGAATACAAGAAACGCTTACTGATCTTCTTCTGGGACCTGGATGGATCTTCTGATAATGGAGTACGAAGGGTGGGGAGTCGTTGGCAGGCACTTACAACCTGTATGGTTGGCAACCTTAACAGGCACTAATTCAGGTACTGAGGTCAAAGGCACTGATATCTGAAAGAGCTAGAGGGGAGAAAGAGAACCATAACACATACATATTTTTAGATAATAATCATTTCTACAGTCTGCATTTTTGCCTTGGTCCTTTATGGGACTGACTTTAGCAAAGCTGTCCATTAAGAATAGAACTAACGAGGGGCGCCTGGGTGGCTCAGTGGGTTGAGCGTCTAACTTTGGCTCAGGTTATGATTTTGCAGTTCGTGGGTTCGAGCCCCGCATCGGGCTCTGTGCTGACAGCTCGGAGTCTGGAGCCTGCTTCGGATTCCTTGTCTCTCTCTCTCTCTCTCTCTCTGCCCCTCCCCTCATTCACACACTGTCTCTCTCTCTCAAAAAGAAATAAACATTAAAAAACATTTTTTAAAGAACTAATGAGGATAAGGGCTGGCATGATGGAAAGGATCCTGGCCTGTGAGTCAGGAGACTGGGGGCTTATGCAACTTTACCAAGTATTTAAGACCAAATCTCTTGACTTTTTAGTGTCGCTCGTATCCCTGTAAATGGCACTGTTGGTCCTTGCTTCTGTTTTCACTTTGAGTGTAAATTATAAGGACTAAATGAAATCCTGGCTATGGAGTTTCTTTGAGACAGCGGCAAATAGGTTATTGTTCAACACTACGTACTTATCCCTTCTCATACCATCCCCATTGAAGGAATGGTTTCCTGTTCCTTGACTTTGGACTTGGCTATGTGACTTGCTTTGGCCAACAGGATGTTAGCAGACATGACACAATGACCAACGTGAACTGTGTGTGCTTTGTGGCTTGTTTTGTCCTGCACATGCCACAGCCATGAGAAGAGCATGATTCGGCAGGCGTGCTGGCCCAAGGGATGAGAGACATGGGGCCGGACCTGCACTCAGTCTGTAGCTTGGAGTCAAGCCCAGCTGAGCCCCCTCTGAACTAACTGCATCTTAAATGCATGGGTGGGAATAAGTCATTGTTGTTTGAAACCGCAGGGTTTTAGGGTGTTTATTATGCAGCATTACATAGCAAAACCGACTGAAACGAGATCATCACGCCCAACCAAATAATTATAGAAAACATGAATACCATTCTATTTCTATATGCGCTGTTCTATGTTAATTCATTTATCCCTTATGACAACACTACACAGTGGGTTTTTATTTACCAATCCCCTACTCTGCAGGCGAAGAAACAGATGTACAGAGAGGTTATACTACTTGCCCAAGGCCACATAACTACTGATCGGAAGAGTGAGGATTTGAACCCAGGCAATCTGCCCTAGAGCCAGAGGTGATACTCTATGCCTTATTAACTTTTTGGAACAAAATTTCTGTGACCAGAAGAAGCAAGGTGGGATCTTGACAAGTAGAATTCAGAGAAATGACAATTGCTTTGTTTCTAGAGTGGCTGTCGTGTATGGACAAAACTGAACTTGATTTTAGTGTTCTGTTCATTCAATCCCCATTCCATGCAGTCCTTACTACACATAGCATTCATTTATTCACTTTGTTTCTAAGATGTAGGTCATCTAAATAGTCCATAACTTTGGGGTGAGAGGTAGTTGTTTTTTTTTAAACCACTGTTCAAATGTTCAAGAGTGCATATTTGGCAAGAAACACTTCTGTATACTTACTTAAGTACATTCTTTTTTAAAAAAAAAATTAACGTTTTTATTTATTTCTGAGAGAGACAGCATGAGCAGGGGAGGGTCAGAGTCAGAGGGAGACACAGAATCTGAAGCAGGCTCCAGGCTCTGAGCTGGCTGTCAGCACAGAGCCCGACATGGGGCTCGAACCCACGAACGGTGAGATCATGACCTGAGCCAAACGACTGAGCCACCCAGGCATCCCTTAAGTACATTCTTTAAAACTAATCATTTGTTGAGTACAGCAGTCAAAATAAAGTACTCAACTATCTATTAAGTGGAAATGATCCATTAAAGTTGTGTTTATTCTGACCTTTTGATATGTAATAGAATTTCTATGAGTCTAATAAGAGAATGTTTTTAGAGTGCTTACTTTGCATAAACTTCAACTTGTTGAGAAATTTTTCAGCTCTGCTTTAGGGAATAACGTGGTCCTGAGCAAAGCCTCTTACATTATGCAAGCTTTATTTCTAGTGACAGTTGATACTTAGCCATACTTCTGTCATGTTTTTAGCTCCTGATTGCCAAACAGTAAGAGGTCAGAGCCTTTACAAATTCCAAGATTCACTAAACGAATTTAGAAAAAGAAACTCTATAGTTTGTGGGCCATTTTAGGGGGCAAGGGGACCAAAATGAAGGCTAAGTTAACCTATTACCAAACAAATGAGCATTCCATTCTTTCCATCCAATTAAGATCCTTACCTACTGCAGATATATTAGGTACATACGTAATTTTATTGTACTACCTCTGTTCACAGTCACGAGGAGGATACATTGCATAGGCAAATGGGACAATTAAATGAATATATCAACATGCGCAAGGAATTTGCAACCCAGAGCCAAAAGGAATGTAGTTTGACTTACAGCCTTTTAATAGGTTTTCCTAAGTTTGCTGGTACTGCTCTGCGATATAAATCTATTGTATTTTACCAGAATATAGTAGTGACAGAAAGAAAAAATTACCTATGGGGAGAAAGATTTTACAAGATGGAGAGGGAAGAATCCTTTCTTCCATGGGGACTACAGAATTATTTTCAAAGATCTTTCCTCTTTCGCGCTAGATACGCTCCATTTGTCTCCCCCCCACCCCCCCGCCCCAAGAGATGCCACCCTCTCTCCTTCCTTCCCCACTGGGCTCTGTGTCTCCTGACGCTGACCTCCAGGTCTCTTGCATCGTCCACCCCTGCCCCCGACTCCCTGCTGCCACCCCTGCAACCGGTCCCGAAGCCTTCTTCTCCCTTCTCTCTGGGTTCCCGAAACTGCTTCGGCCCCTAGCCTCTTCGGTGCAAGGGTGGGATCAGCTCCCCAGTTTTGGCAGCTTGGGGCATTTCACCAGCCCTTCCTCCATCCCACGGCCCCACCGGTTCAACTCTCTTCTCAGTCACTCCGCTCGAACACCATGGAGCCCGACGAATGCCCAGAGCAGCGCAGACGTCTTCATTCCTCTGGTCCTCTGCCCTGGTAGCTCCCGTAGGACTTTCTGATTCTTGACATTATAGCATCAGAGAGGCTAGAACAACATCACACGCTGCACGGTGAGGTTTTTATTTATCCATCCCTCACCTCTACAGGTGAAGAAACAGATGTGCAGAGAGGTTCCAGAACTTGCCTAAGGCCGCACCACTATTGATTGGAAGAGTGTGGATTTGAACCCAGGCAATCTGCTCCAGAGCCAGAGGGACTTCAGGCTCTGGAGGCCCACAGACCTGGATTTGAATCCCAGCTCTGCCACAGCTGAGCTCTCTGAGCCTCCGTCTCCTCATCTATAATAAGATACCCTCTTAGCTCGTTTCAGGGATGAAATGAGATGATGCCCATGAGATGTTCGGCGCGGGGCGCGGCAACCGGCTTAGCTATGGCCGGCAGCACGCTTGTCCTCTGGGCTTCGGAGGGGGCCGCGGGCGGGTGTCCCCTTACCTGTTTGGAAACGTAGGAGGTGCTCGTGTTCATGCAGACGCGACTCTCTTCATTGCAGCAGCCGCCACACCGGAACACGTTCACACAGGGGGGCTTGAAGAACGTGCTGGTGCTCCTCCCCAGCTCGCTGGCCACCTCCACGCACGTCTCTCTGGGGCTGCACTGGGTTCTCTGCCATTCCTCGTCGATAACTGTGGAGAGGAAGCTGTTGGGGCCAGCGGAAGAGATGGCCCCGACAGGCCAGTGCGTGCCAGGGTGTCACCGAGCACAGTCACTTTCACGTCTGGGGTGCTGGTTATCTTCCCCGATGGGGATTTCGGCGGGGGGGGGGGGGGGCGGGGGGCAGTCCTCTAACCAAAGATTGTTCTCAGAAAACTTAAAACCAAAATCTGTGTCCATTCCCATTTACCGAATACCTTCTTTGGTGAAGACCGCCCTGTCCGGTACGACACTCCCCGGGGTACCCCCTGGAGGGGCTGGCTAATGAAGAAGCGAATGGAAACGGGTCAAGAAAGAACTTGTGTTATTTATGAAGCTGGGCAGCATTTCTTCTGCTGGAAGTCAGGTGTGCGTGGGTGTTAGCGCCATCAGGAAATACGCATCTGTTGGCTGCAAAAGTAACCGTAGTAGGATTCACACCGGGCAAACCGCATGCATGGAAATTTAAGTGGAACTAACCTTTCCTCACGTGAGGGGTTTTTCTTTTTTCCTCTGCGAGTGCCCCATACTGATGTTTATGGAAAAGAATGAAATTAGCCAGGTCATTCTGGCGGTAGGAGCAGTATTCTGGCCATTCCAGCTAATTGGAAGGAAAGAAGAAAAAGAGACAAGCCTCCGGGAATGGAAAGATTACATACTTTCCTGTAAAACGGTACTTGCTTTTTCTCTCGTTGTTTATTTTTCAAAATTAGATTCTGACACTTTGGTACTCAGAGTTGTAGAGCCTTTCCAAAGTGTTCTGGGGAAATGATTCAATTTTAGGATAAAGACAACTTTAAAGGCTTCCTCTGAGCTTGCCATGCAGCTGTAGGGTTTAGCCTATGTTGGAGGTGGTGGTGAACGCCTCCTGTGGTAGGAAGCTTCTAAACTGACCCCGCAGTGAGGCCCACCTCCCGGTGTTCACACCCATGTACAATCCCCTTCAGGGTGGGGGCTGGGCCCAGTGACTTGATTCTTGCGAAGAGAATACCGCAAAAGTGACAGGCTCTCACTTCCATGATTAGGTTTAAAAAGACTGAATTTGGGGGCACCTGGGTGGCTTAGTCGGTTAAGCGTCCGACTTTCGCTTAGGTCATGATCTCGCGGTTCGTGGGTTCGAGCCCCGCGTCGGGCTCTGTGCTGACTGCCAGCTCAGAGCCTGGAGCCTGTTTCAGTCTGTGACTCCCTCTCTCTGACCCTCCGCTGCTCACGCTGTCTCTCTCTCTCCTAGAAATAAATAAAAAACGTTAAAAAAAATATATTTAAAAAAAGAAAAAAAGCTGAATTTTATCTTGCTACCAGTCTCTATCTCTTGCTGACACTCTCTTTCCCTTGCTTTCTCAACTTGTAGGCTCTGATGAAGCAAGCCGCCATATTGGAAAGGTCCACATGGCAAGGAACCGAGGGCGGAATCTGGCCAGCAGCTGGCCAGTGAGGAGCAGGGGCCCACAGTTCAGCAGCTTGTGAGGAACCAGGGACCTCAGTTCAACAGCCTGTGAGGGAACTTGGAAGCACATCCTGCCCCCGTTAAACTTTGAGATGCCGGCTGCAGCCCAAGATGACGCCCTGACTGTAACCTCTGGAGAGATCCCGAAGGAGAGACACCCAGCTAGGCCATGTCTGTATTTCTGATCCACAGAAGCTGTGAGGTAAATTATGTTTAAGCAGCTAAGTTTGGGGGTAACGTGTTATACAGCAATAGATAAACTCTCCTCCATTTTTACCCCATCTTCAAAAGTTTGTATTGGTCTCTCTCCATATCATTCTGGACCCCACAGATGTGAACATGTTTCCCCTAGAAGGGACGAAGCACTTCTGCTCGAAGTATACGGATATAACATTATCCGACCCTAGTCTCTGAATTATTCCCTTAAAACACTTTTTCCATATCTTTATTCCACCCCCTGCCCTTAATCTTAATATTCCTTATATGTTGCTTCTTTAATCACTGAAAACACGAAAGACAAGCTGTTTGGCCGCCTGGGAAACCTTGTATACACTACACAACCTGCCTCAACTTTGTTTTAGCATGATAAAATCTTCTAACCCGAGACCTTTTTAAATTTCTGATTATGAATGTTTATATAAAAAGCCTAAAGGCTGTAACCATGAGAGAGAAATTACCCAATTTGGTATTAATATGAGTATTACTTAAGTCACTATTATTAATGATGAATCCTGTGAAAAACAAGCAATTGACTTACGAAAATATTCTTTGTTTAAAAATTCTACTTAAAGGTTGCTTTCCATCTGCTTTTTGTAAGACTAAGTTTTGAAAGTTGGAGTGGTAAGATCTGAATCAAAGTTGTGTGGAATTATGACTAATGCCACTACTTCGAAGCTTCCTAAGCTGTGCCTCAGGGAATTACCCCGAATCTGTGAGAAGAGTTGATAACAAATTACAAGTGGTGTAACACATCTATTTGATCATTTACTGCTTCTAATTCAGCAAATAACTTCAGATGACCCCCATGTAATAAGAGACATTTTAGAGTTGGCAAATTCCATATTTTTATGTTTTTAAAAAGACATTTTTTTAATGGTTTCCTCCTTAGAAAATGTCGAGATGCCTGGGTGGCTTAGTCAGTTAAGGGTCCAACTTCGGCCCAGGTCATGATCTCACAGTTTGTGAGTTCGAGCCCCGCATTGGGCTCTCTGCTGTCTGCACAGAGCCCGCTTCAGATCCTCTGTCCCCCCATCTCTGTTCCTCCCCAGCTTGCACTCTCTCTCTCTCAAAAATAAATAAAAACATTATTTAAAAAAATAAAAAGGTCAATGTCACTGACTTTTTTTTTTTTATCACCTAGTCTTGGTTGTACAGTAAAATGCTTGTCTACCTCCATTGTCACAGAGGATCTCGAGGCTCACCCAGGCCTTCAGACAGGTAATCTGGTTAAGGCCTTGGATCTTCAGGTGAGGTCTGACCCCTTTGTTTCCATGAAGTCCATGCTAATTCACCAAACAGAAACAACTAGAGCTTCAAACCTTTGGCTTAAGCGGGTTCTAGGCCAGGGTTCCAACTATCTCAACTCAGACACACAGTCATACACAAGAGCACAAAGAATCTTCTTCACACTCGTGCCCACAGGGCTGCCCAGAGATTTATCCCCCTACACACGTGGCCTTCCCCACAGCTGACAACAGCGGCCTGTGCGACCTCGTCATCATTTTACCAACGGAAAAACAGAAAGATAATTCTAGAAAAAAAGAAACGAATCATTTTGGCTGAGTGGTCCATTTGAATGTTGTGATAGACATAACCCATCTTTAGGTAAGCCTATGCTCATCAAATCTAAAATGCTAGGTCAACAAGGCCTCAGTGGCTTCTTGTGTTGTTTTGCTACATTGTTCAAAAAGTCCAATGCCTAATCAGAGGCCACACAATGGTGTTTGGCAAACTTCATTCATTATGGCACAGCACATATACAGACGATGGTTTTCATATAAAGAACCTCCATCTCTTACTAGGGAACAATCAGCCCCTCTATTTCAAATTAGGTTACTTCCTGGTCTGGAGTTTGGATTCTTTTGTTTAGAGGATTCCCCACCTCCATCATCTAGTAATACCGATATGTGTCATTGCAACTCAGCTTCCAACATCTGCTTTTCATTTTCACTAAAAAAAAAAAAAAAAAAAAAAAAGAAACCACACACGGAATTTTGAAGAAACAGAAGTCATACCTAATTTACTGATATTTAATCCATGTAGGTATGTTTTTTTCTAGTAAGAATGGTCTTTCTGGGTTTGTTTTGCCCTGGCACCTCTGAATACATTTCCGAATTTTGAAGTGTTCTTTTGCAATGGCTTTTGATCTCAAAATCATATTGAATATATTTCTCTGCAAAGTAAACACAGGAAACAAGGATTCTCTGCTAATGTCAAAGCGAGGAAATCAAAGACACCCCTTTTCTTCTCCCGGACACGCACCTGCCCTACTCAGACCTTTGGAAGAGGCTGGTGCCTGTGTTAGTATCTGATAAAGCACAAGAATTGACTTCCACCCGCACACGCATGCACACCTGTGCACACAAGCATGCACGTGCACACCTACCTTTTAGGGTTTCAAGGTCATAGAAAGTTGCCGCAAACCTGGTGGCCCGATGGGAAGCTGAGCGGGAGTCGGTGCTGGTCAAACTTTTGAGCTTCAGTCGGCATCTCCACAGCTTCCAGTCCTCGAAGTGTGTGATTCGCAGCAGCTCCTCCAAGCCAGAGGCCGCTCTGATTTGCTGTTCAGTTCCTTCTAACGTTGACCGAGACGCCCGCTTGAAACAAACAAACAAACAAACAAACAAACAAAAATACTGGTTGCAAAGCCAGTTCCTCAAGTGTTAGTGTGTCTTGACAGCCCTCATTGCTGACACTTAAAGATGTAAATGGAGCTGAAAAGAAACGAGAGAGATGATTCAAATGTACACCGGCACCTAGGAAAAGTACTAGTGAGTTTTTTTGATTCACATTCTGCTCATTTATGATGGAATCAAAATAAATATTCCCCTGGATTCTCAGGACATTTAAAAGCAGTATCATAGTGCGTTGAATGGGTGGACTTCGAAATGATATATCCCAGAGCCTGCGAATGTGACTTTCTGTGGGCAAAGGATCTTTGCAGATGTAATGAACAGATCATCCAGGTGGACCCAAATACAAAGACAAGCGTCCTCTTGGGAGAGAGGGGGAAGGGGCACCTGGGTGGCTCAGTCGGTTGAGCGTCCGACTTCAGCTCACGTCATGATCTCTTGGTTTGTGAGTCTGAGCCCCGCATCAGGCTCTGTGCAGACAGCACAGATCCTGGAGCCTGCCTCATACTCTGTGTCTCCCTCACTCTCTGCCCCTTCCCTACTCACATTCTGTGTCTTTCTCTCTCAAAAATAAATAAACATTAAGAAATTAAAAAAAAAAAAAAAACAGGGAGCGGGAGACATGGACACAGATGAGGTTTTGTGAAGACCGAGGCAAAAGTTAAAGTAATGCAGCCACAAGCCAGGAATGGCCCGGAGCCCTCAAGAGCTGCATGAGGCAAGGAAAGATGCTCTCCCAGACTCTTCGGAAGCAGTGCAGCCCTGCTCACACCTTGATTTCACATTTCTGGATTCCAGAATGCTGAGAGAATATATTTCTATTGTTTTAAGCCACCGATTTTGTGGCAATTTGGTACAAAAGCCACAGGAAACTAATAAGGAGTTTAATATCATACTATTTTTGTGACAGGAGCCAATGACCATTGCTTTCATCTCTGTTATCTGAGAAACTAGCCCACAAAGTCCTGGGGACCCTGCCTACAGTCGCACAAGAAAGAAAGGTTTTAAGAGGCTGATATTTGAATTTTCTAACTTCTAACCCTCTGAGACTTTCTCTATTCCTGTTCACTATCTCAAACACATCTTTTTTTTCCTGATAAAATACACATCCAAAGGTAATGTTGAAAATTTGCTTTCCACACAATTACATGGACTGTATTGGCTGATACAACGCAGGGGTGTGTGAGACTCCGCCAATATGGTGGCTGAATTGTTCCAAATAAGGGGCTTGGTGATACAAATATGATACATATGTACAATGAAATACTATGTGGTCATCAAAACCAGTGATGTAGATGTCTACTGGGACAGAATGAATTGAGCTCCTCCCTGGAATGTGCTGGAGAAACAATACAATGGTCTGTCTATGGTTAGCGACCCAGATTTTCACCTGCTGAGCCTGTGCTTACTGGATCTTTGTTTTCCCAGGCAGCTGGGATACATGGGCTGAGGGGACTTTTAGATCTGGGTGAGGGGGCAGCCGAGGGACCAGGGCAGCTGCAGGATGGTGCTGAGGAGGGTGGACGGAGAGATGGGTATCAGCTGCCCGCTACCAGGGAAGGAACAGCGGGGGAAAGAGAGGTGAGCAAATGGGACCTTCAGGAAGCAGTGCATTGAGTGGTGTGATATACACCCTCCTCCACTGCCCCTCAAAAACTTTAGTTAAAATCTGCATCAATAATCAAAGGTTTGGGAGTAGGATTTTTTTGTTTTTAGATAGGATGATAGATAATGAGCGTTGTCCAAAAGCGGGTGCTCAAAAGAGCTAGTGCGGTCAAGTCATGTATGATTCAGTTTTGCTATCTTTTAAAATTATTTATGTGTGAGGGCGCCTGGGTGGCTCAGTCAGTTAAGCAACCGACTCTTGATTTCGGCTCAGGTCATGATCTCAAGGTTTGTGGGATCTGCTTGGGATTCTCTCTCTCTCCCTCCCTCTTGGCCTGCCCATCCCCCACTTGTGTGTGTGCTCTCTCAAAATAAACTTTAAAAAAATAAAATAATTTATGTGTGTATAATGTCCATCATGTATATATAAACAATCATTGTTAATCACACATGTAAAATTACATATATATATATATATATATATATGCGTGCGTGCACACACACACACACATATAATTAGTATCTGGAGGGATACACATGAAAATATAAACAATGGCTCCTATTCTACATCAGAGGCTGTCAAACTACAGCCCCCTGGTCTATTTCAGCCTGCTGCCTGCCTATTTTATGAATAAAGTTTTATTGGCACACAGCCATACCCATTCATTTTACATACTGTCCATAACGGCAGGGTTGAGAAGCTGCAACAGAGACTTTCACAGCAGATTGAATCTTGAGGCCAATGTCCTTTTCAAATTTCAATTATTATCTTTTCAGGCATTATATTTTTCATTACCCCATGTGTTACGTTGTTTCAATTCTAGTTTTGAAATATCTATCAGACATATATTGGAGCCTGTTAATGATCTCACATGCCTTGAAGCAACTCTGAAACTCACTGATTCTCCATTAAGGCTCATTTGTCAATAGCCTCCCATTTCCTGATTATTCATGGCCTCTTCTGCCTGGACAGTATTACTACTTCACATTCAGCTTAATCTTTGAAATAAAATTTTGCTACATCATTGCTTCCCCACGAAAATAATGAAACCAATCCAATAACTTTTTATAGGTTTTAAAAATCGTACTATATTGAAAGAATTTTTTACTGAGGCAAGTTTCATTCAATACTGTCCATGAATATTGAATATATAGATGCATGTTTTCATAGTTCTTACAGATTTCAATTCAATCTCAGAACTGTTTTTCAACTATCCAACTGAGAACACAGGAGAAAATATCAAATCTCTGGATTGAATTAAAGGCACTGAAATGGCTCACAGGACTTGCCTCATCACAGAACATGCAGTGTTTACCCAAATACTCAAGAGTTATTTAAGCATACTTTAAGCCTTATAATTTAAAATCTAGTTTGAAATAGCTGAGATAATGCAGACAGTCATTTTGCAATTGCAAGAGGAAGTACTCACAACATAAGCAGAAACGTGACATCTCATAGGGGGACACATCTACAAAGGGTCAACAATGGCTGGTGGGCTGTGGTTTCCAATAGACTTTCTGTGCTAGGTGATTTTTGTGTCATTAATGTTATGTAATCTGCTTGGGTGAGACAAAAATTAAAATCACAAGGTGTAAATATAATCCCAAATGTATATGTAAGCCATTGGTTTCGATGGTGTTGTTGGGGATGAGGCGCAATGGGAACCCTCTTACATTGCTGATGGGATTGTGGGATGGTGCTGCCACTTTGGAAAGGAGTTCAGCAGTTCCTTAAAAAGTTAAACATAAATTTACCATATGACCAACCCACTGCGCACCTGGGTAGTTCCCAGGAGATAGAAAGTAGATGATTGGCCACCTGGGGCTGGGAGTGGAAACGAGGGTTAACTGTAAAAGGGGGCACAAAGGACCTTATGTAGATGATGGCTGCCCGACTCGGTAAGTTCCTGAAAATCATCAACTTACTTACATCAGGTGCATGGCTAATGCTTACAGTATGTAGTATATCGCTGTAACTATTTAAAACCATGCCTCCCCCACCGCTCGGAGCGCCCTTTTTTAATGTTTGTTTATTTTTGAGAGAGAGCGAAACAGAGTGCGAGTGGCGGAGGGGCAGAGAGAGAGGGAGATACAGAACCCAAAGCAGATTCCAGGCCCTGAGCTGTCAGCAGAGAGCCTGACACGGGTCTCGAACTCGTGAACCGTAGTCAGACGCTTAACCGACTGAGCCACCCAGGCGCCCCCAGGATGCTGCATTTCTAACAAGCTCCGAGGTGATGGCGATACTGTCAGTTGGCTGACCACGCTCTGAGAAGGGTTTGGAGCAAAGGTTCTCAACCTTGGTTTCACCTTGAACCTACCTGGGAAGAGACATCAAAGAAATACTGATGCTTTGGGATCCCATCCTCAGAGATTCTCATTTTATGGGTCTGGGCTGCAGTTTTACCATCAGGAGTTGCTTTTTTAAACTTCCTGAGGGTTTGCTAGTCTTAGGGGAAGCTGGGTTGGAGATGCATAGGAACTCTCTATACTAGCTTTGAAACTCTTCTGTAAATCTAAGAGTACTTCAAAATAAAATTTATGTAAAAAACCTTCCCAAGTGATTTTAATGCGAACCACTCATTTGCGGGATGGAGCATGCTGGTGTAAGTCCAAGGACTCTCTCTGGTTAGTGCCTAAGGAACGTCCAAGTCCATTGAGAGGCATGCTGAGAAATAATCTTATTCTTTAAACTCCTCCAAGGGTTACACCTTGGATTCAAACTATTTGTGTAAGTATCCTGATTAACTGGATTTCCAAAGCCCTTCTTAAATAATCTGACTGACTGATTGGGGACCAGCTCCCCACACGTATGACTTTTTCAAGGTTGCAGACCAACGATAACCTTTTCCAGACAAAAGAGCACATGGTCAAGCTGCCTTTCCTGAAACCATCCTAAATGACAGGATAAATTGCTTCTCAAATTTCCAAGGACTCAAAACAACCCATTTCTCAAAACAGAATTAAAAATAATAGGTAGTGCTTTATCCTACTGGAATTCAATAGAGAAGTGTAAATTGCAATCTTCTCACAAGGCGGTCCATAAAAGTATTTGAATGAAAATATGAATGAGGAGTATAAACACGGATGCCTTGGTGGGAGGAATACGGCTTGGAGTCGATGGCCAGGCTCAGATCCTGGCTCTGAGCTCTCAGATCTTCTGCGAAGAATTTCGGAGTGGAGCCCCTGATTACTTTCCTCAAAGAGCTGTGAAAAGCTTTTTGTAGGCCATCCAGTCAGTCCCATACTATTAAGAATCCTGTTCTAGATACGGAAACAGATCAGCTCTGCAAAATTCCTCTCTGGACCTCTTGAGAGCGTTGTGTCTAAGACTATGATTCCAAGCCTTTTAAAATCTG